CCATGAAACTCAGCCCCACGTGTCACTTTGTGACAGCATGTCCTACTAAATCTAGGGCCACCTGCAATCAAATTCGACGCCAACGGGACTTCTCCCCAGTAGCCTTGTACCTCCGGGAACACCAACAGACATCGCTTGAATTCGAACCGGGGATCTACAACTCCCAATCCTTCACTGTCGTGACAATTTTACCGTTAGATTATCTTACCTTTAGTTTGTCTCTTCATCTCAAGCTTTGCTAGTTGCTGCTACACTTCTTGATATCCCCTTTATTATTAAATATTATTTTATTTTTATTTTCTCAATAAGGCAGAAGATCCATGGCCCATTCACAAGGTTTCGCGTCAATCAAGGGGCTTAGGTGATGGATTAAGACGAAGAGGGGGATGGAGGGAGCAACTTGAGCTTCCAATCTGACCATTGTAAAAGGGCCCAGGCCTTGTAACTAACTGCTGCCTGCTAGGGCCTGTCAATGCTTTGGGCTTTTGAGCCCAACATAGATGGATCAATGCCAATGAATACCATAGTCCACATTGCAACGAGAAGAAGAAAACAACAACAAATATTTTTCCCACGGATCGAGTAACCTAAAATAGTAAAACAACAACAATGAACTGCACACAAAACGGCTTGGGTTGAATATTTTGAAATTTCAATTAGAAGAAGCGTCAGCAGACTTGACCCTTTCAAATGAAGAAGTTTGAACTTCCTTTCCAGAGACCCCGCTACAGCAGCAGTCACAGATAAAATTAGGTGGGATGTGGATGTTAAATTGGGGATACGTGGAAAATATATTTATATAATATGGTGTAGTTAGAAAAATCATCTTTTATTCCGGCTTCTTAGCTCATAACCCACCACATACATAAAGAAAGAATATACAGCTTCCTCCATTTCTACGGGTTTTTGTGAAAATCCGATTGGTCAAAGACTCAAAGTAGTAAAGTTTGATCACATGCCACATGTATCTTTAAATATCGAAATTGATGATATGTGGAGGGAGATTAGAGCCGAGATTCCACTAATAAAAGGGTTGACTTTTGACTTTGTGGACCAAAATCTCAATAAACCGGCCTCACCCTATGTATAGTTGAGATACCAAAGAAATTTGGATAAGGTTTGGAAAAATGACACTCCTATTATATTAAGTACAATTATAGAATTTAATACACACATTAAGAATTAAATGCACCATATTAATTATTTGTTTTTTTTTTCAAATTAAAACCTACACTAAATAGATTTTCTCTCACTATATCTGATTTTTCCTTTTTCAGCAGTCTCCGACCACCAGACTTCCTCCGACCGCCACACTTCTCCGGTGAAAATCCCATCGGCAGACTCCCTCCAACCACCTCCAAAAAATATATCACTGCACTGATACGTTGTACCACTGTACTAGTAGATATACCACTACACTGGTAGCGATATCAGTGCACTGGTACCAATGTCATATCTGAATATAAGTGCAGTGGTACAAATACCAGTAAAGTGGTACAACATATCAGTGCAGTGGTATATTTTTGCATGTGACCGGAGAGAGTTTGTCGGCGGATTTTACCGGAGAAGTGTGGTGATCGGAGGAAACTTGGTGGTCGGAGACTGCTCGGAAAGGATGAATCAGAGATAGGAGTGAGAAAGATCAAAGATGAGAGAGAGAATTGTATTTTGTATATATTTAGATTTTTTTAAAAACAAGTAATTAATGTGGTGTATTTAATGCTTACTTTGTATTTAATAACAGAACATTTATTATATTTACTTTCATTAATACTTGTCAATGATTAATGAAAAATTGACCAAATCTATTTTCTTATGCTCCTTTTGAGGAAATATTGTAACCAAATCTAGCTATCTAAATGAAATGGTCCAAGAATTACCATAAAAATATTAAACTAATTAAAAAGCGCGGGAACGGCTACGGTGCTAATTGCACAATAGTTAGCACCGTTCTAACCAAGGGAAAAACTACTACTAGTTTGAATTAGTAGTGATTTAGCTTAGATGTTGTATTGATTTTATAATAATCCGTAGTGATTTTTGCTAGTTATCACGGTGCTAACCCCTATAGGGGTTAGCACCTAATCCCATCCCAAAAAGCGCCATCAATGAAGGATTATAATCCATTACACATATTAATTAGTTAAGCTAACTACTTAGGACACTTCAAGACACATTGAACATTTGTGCAATAAATAATCAATAATGATACAAAGAGACTCCGCAAAAATTTACGTCTATTCAATAATAATAATAATAATAATAATAATAACATCAATCTGTCGCAAGAGAGAAAATAAAGGAGATGAGGGGAACTGTAGAATCCAGCTTATATTTCTTTCATAATTAGTAAAATTCGATGCCCCGCCAGAGAAGTCAACATGGCTATGCTGGCCAAATGTGGATGGCGTCTCATGACCGAAAATCAGACTCTATGGGCTCAATTGATGAGGGACAAGTACGGGAAAGACAGGGCTCACCTGGATCTCATCAAACCTATAAAGGGAAGTTCTTTCACCTGGAATAGTGTCTCCAAAACTGGAAGCTTGCTGAAAAGCGGCTGTGCTTGGAATATTCATAAGGGAACTCTGACCCGTTTCTGGTATGATATTTGGATTGATCAGGTACCCTTGGAGGAGCTAGCCACTGGTCCGATCCCGGAGGTTGATAGGAATGCCATGATCTCTGCGTTCGTGGATGAGGAAGGAACTTGGCGCACCGAGAAGTTCAGCAATATTCTCCCGGTCGAGATTATACACCGCATTACAGCTGTTGCTGTGGATCCGATGGCGCCAAATGACGAAACTCTGTTTTGGCACCCCACCTCAGATGGTCGTTTTTCAATGAAGAGTGCCTTCCACCTCCTTCAGGCAGAGACTCCTAACGAGCAGCCCAAAGTTTGGAAGGAGATTTGGAAGCTGGAGGTTCCGGAGCGGGTTCGCTGTTTTATGTAGCTTGTCGCCCACAACAGGATCAGCTCTAATGAGCAGCGAGCAAAGTGTCACATCTCAGCCACTTCTTTCTGCTACAGGTGCGAGACCCAGGTGGAATCTACCTTGCATATCCTCAGAGATTGTCCCCCAGCCGCCTTTGTCTGGGCGCGCACAGTCCCTGTAGATCAACAACATGTTTTCTTCAGTATGCATTTGGATCACTAGCTCGCCACCAACCTGCAGAAAACCGATAGGTATGTGGAAGATACCCCTTGGAATGCCTTTTTCAGTATTGCCATCTGGAATCTTTGGAAAAACAGGAATGAAGGCGCTTTCAGAGGGGCTGAGAAGACGTTTTCGCCACCATCTCTTGTACAAGCTATTAGGATCAAGGCCAGTCTTTGGTACAAGGCGTGGATGGCGCCGAGGGACAACTTGGGACGCAGACCCGCGTCGGTTCAGCGTGTGACCAAGGATATCAGTTGGATCCCTCCCCCATTGGGATGGAACAAGCTCAATGTGGATGGGGCTGCTAATGGTGTCCATGGCCCTGCGGGAGCTGGTGGTATCTTGAGAGATAATCAGGGGAGATGGAGACGAGGCTTCGTTGCTAATTTGGGGACTTGCTCGGCGACTCAAGCAGAGCTCTGGGGGATTTTCCATGGACTCGATTTAGCTTGGCAGAATGGCAACAGAACTCTGATTGTTGAGACTGATTCTCAACTTGCTCTTCAACTCATTGAGAAGAGAACTGATCATATCCATCCGCTCGCGACTCTCTTGACGGCAATCAGACGGAGACTTGCCCAAGATTGGGTGGTGCGTCTTTGTCATACGTACCGGGAGGGGAATAGAGTCGCGGACTGGCTCTCGAAGCACAATCTCGTCTATCCCTATGGTAAATATGACTTAGACATGCCTTCTGAAGCTCTTCAGGCCATCATTGGTGATGATATCAGAGGACAATCTTTCCCAGGAACGTTGTTGAGCCCCCTGGGTCTCACCCCTTGCTGTAATGCTGCGCCCCTCCTCCCCTCCTTGTAATCCCTTCTCTTTCTTCGGCTTTTAGGCCTCCCCTGCTGCAAAAAAAAAAAAATAGTAAAATTTGATGAAAATAAATTATGCTACCAATATGTACGTCATTAGAAACAATTACATACCGTAAAAACGGTAAAATAAAAAATTTGATTGTGGGGTGGGGGGTGGGGGATAATTGACCTGTTTGAACCATAAAGAGAAATGGAGTACAGATTAGTTGACGAAATTACTTTTAGTTTAAACGATCTTAACTCTTCTAATCCGTTTCGACCGTTGGATGTTCCACAAATCTCCCAATTTGGGAAAACAGCAAGCCGGCCGGCCACCCCCACCAACTATCCCCCACTTTCCTACGCCATGCCCCACTCCCACTCTACCCCTTTTTCTTGTTTACCTTTCTTATGAAGGGGAGAAATTTCAGTATTTTTACTTCAAGTAAGTAACCGTCAGTAAATCACCATGCTAGCTGATTACAACTCCTTCGGAACGGCCAATACAGTAATAACCCAATGTTTGAGGCTTTCGAGAGTACACATTTTTAATCCGTGCTCTCTCGCTTTGTTCTTCTTTCGACACCGCCGGCGCATCGGCCGTCTTTTCTTGCCCACGTGGGGGACCAATTCACTTATATATTAATAATAGTTTCATGGGATAAAAACAAGACGTAGGGAACTAACCGGCGACGAATGTTAGTAAATGATATATGATCTACGATTGAACCTCTCCCAACAACTCGAATTATTGGAATTAATTAGTTCTTGACATGATATCAGAGCCTTCTGTGACCGTGAGGTCTTCTGTTCGATTCCCAATCGAACCGTCATCAGATTAATTTGCCGTCCTCGACGGAGACTCTAACCGGGATATTTTTTTTAAGTTTCAACGGAGGAAAAATGAAACATTCAACCAACCACGGATTAGTTAGTTGGAGAAAGAGCCTTACATGCTAATTAAGCTAAGCAATCCAACCACCTTTTCAAATATAAAATCCTTTAAATAATTATCTCGTAATTAAGATAAAAATCAAAAAGACAGATCAGTAATTAATTCATGCTTGAACAGCTGCGTATGCTTGTATATTGATTGATCTTGTTTTTTATGGGCTTCTTTTAATTACCTCTCACTATATACAAATATATGAGAAATTTTTCATCTTTCCGGCGCCGGATAAAATAAAATTAATCAGAGAAAGAAAAAAACTAGTAATTAACTAGCAGCTGATTATAATAATTAGGTACTAGCTAGCAGCTACTTCCTGGGTAAGAAAGGGGTGATCTTGATGACGAGACCCGGGAAGACATCGTCCGGGTCATGGATATGCGGGTTCTCCTCCACGATGTACGGGTCGCCGCACTTGTCGCTGATCGTATTCAGCGTCTCCCCTTCTCCCACCACGTATATCTCCTCGCACGCCCTCCCGCCCAGCCGGTTTCCCCTCGTCGTCGTCGCCGCCTCCGCCGCCTCCGTCAACGAAGAAGAGCTCTCCCTGATCGACGCCACCAGAATCAGTCCCAGCAGAATCTTCGACAAGTACCACGCCGCCGCGTCGGCTCTAGCTCTTCTCATCCTCGGGGAATCCATAGAGGAAGAGAGTAGTTCCAGTTTTGAGGTTTGTGGAAATCGGGATATGGAGGGGAAAGAATTAATGGAGGGTTATGGGCTTATGGGTTGTGTATTTATGTGAAAGAGGGGAGAAGTCCGGTTTAGGGATGGTAATGGGTCAGGTTGGGCGGGTTTTGCCCAAACCTATGGGTTTATCTGCCAAAAAAATCTGGGGTAAAATTTGTTGGGTTTGAAAAACTCAAACCCAACCCAACCCGTTGGGTATCCGCGGGTTCATGGGTACCCGTGGGTTTTTGTGGTAAAAAATTTACAATAACAAGTTTCTTTCAAAATAAAAGTTTAACATCAATTTTCTCATACAAATTATTCGTACAAAAAACACCAATCTAGAGCATACAAGCAAACCGCAAATGATCAATACAAATGGTTCAAAATTAAAGATAAACATCTATAAACAATAAGATTAATTTAAAGCTTCTTCCTCGTCAACTAAGTTTCTTCACTCTCCACTTCATAATATCAACTTCATTCTAAACAATTAGAAAGAACAAATTATACATGTCTCCACAAACATAAAAAAAATATTAGTTGTTTAAGGAAGATACATTATTTAGAATATTAAATATACCGGGAAAGTAATTATATGTGTGTGGGCGGGTACCCATGGGGCGAGAATACCTAAACCCAAACCTGACCCGGTGAATAGTGTAGCGAATTTAAACCCGAACCCGACCCAAAATCCATCAACACGGGTTTTACCCGCGTTGACCGGATTGGGTCGGGTGTGTACTCGTGGTTTCGGACTTTGTTGCCATCCCTAGTACGGTCTATGTGGCGGTTTTGTATTTGAGGGAAAGAAGCAACTTGAGATTATACGATGGTGGTTAATTTTTGGCTATATTGGTGGGGCGGGGGGAGTTGGAAGAGTTTCAACTTCCACGTAAGACACACAAGTTTCATTTTACTGAAAAGGACTTGGTGGGTGGGGGAGAGTTTGGAAATTGGATGTTTGTTTAAAAATTCCCAAACCGAACTGTATTAGTGTTGAGTTGTGGTTTAATGTTAAAATAAAACGGGGTTACGTGTACTTATGGTGTTTTGATCTTCTGGTGTTGGCAAAGGATTGGCTTTCAGGTTATGTTAAGGGCTTAGATGATTGATTAAGAACATGAATTATTGGTGTAAGCCCTAATCAAATGATTTATTTACACAATTGGGATAATTTAGTTCAAACTTCAAACTATGGTGGAGGTTATGTACATTTCGATAGTGTTTTGACTTTTTCAGTACCATTAAGTTATGAGCTGAATCTAATTACACATCACATGATTCGAGCTATTTGTGGGGAATTTTTTTTTTTAAACACTTGGGACTTGGAAGCCTTACTATACGACTAAATATTGGATTTATTGTACCATTGTCTTCGGTTTTTGTTGAATCCTTTACAACCTACTCCTCGGGTTTAGACTTTAACAGTTCACTCACTAAATTGGAGTTTCTGCTTTTATATTATAGAAAAGTATTTTTCAGCTTTTTATAATCCATTTTGACTACCTTTTATTTTATAGAATTTTTATTCATATTTTATATTAGAAATCCTTTTTTGTAATTTTACATGACCTCTTATATTAAAAAACACTTCTAATAATTTTTCAGTCAACTGCATTTTTTAGAAAAATTTCTCTAAAAACTCAAACCATGAGCTACTTCTGCAAAAGCCACATCGGGGGAGTCCTATTAACAAGAAAACTTGTTTAGCAATTTCTATTTACACACCCATTTGAGGACTATTAAATATAAAAGGTTTCATGCACAACGATATAATTGATGTATGGTAATATTGGTTGGGCTGGTGGTGAACACATAAAAACATCTAGCGTTGAACTTGCACCACACTACATCATAAATTAGCCCAACCAGGGCAAAACGAAATTAAAATAACAGAAGTTATATGCCAATGGATAGTTGGGGTATCAAAAAGGAATTTAGGTTGTTGGGTTTGTTAGCTTGCTCTTTTATTGTTTGCATATATTTTTCAACAATAACATTACCAAATTTTGAATATAAAGAAACAATCAAATTAAAAGAACAATCACTCATATGAGAAACAATACTATTCGCCCTTTTCAATTTTATATAAAATTGACTAATCTCATTCTAGCAATCTCACATGTAAAAACTCCCGCCCTAAAAATGTTATTAGTGAAGCGAGTAGTTGATAAAACAAGAAATGTAAATGGTTGCGTAATTCACTAGTAGGACGTGTCCCAACTAATTCATGGACATAATAAATATACATTTTTTAAGCAAGAGTACATATTATAAAATAGAGGAGGAAGAGGTAGAAAGTTCATATAAAATCTCCTTTTTTTTCCTTCTCGTTACGAAGGTAATTCGTCAAATACAACAAACCTCTGACTTCTATAAATACCCTGTAAATTCATAGAAGCAATACACAAAGGCCAACTGGTATTTGATCGACTAAGGAGGAACCGAAAAATTACGGGGTCAATGTTTTAATCCAGAACATCCTGAATCCAAACAGATGAACCCAAACATATAAACATGATCTAAAAAATCCTAAAAATCTAAAGGAAAACCAAACCAAACTGAACAGTGATTTGGTGGGTGGACAGAGCAAAAATGACAGTGATCTTTGCTGGTGTACTGGGTGGTGATGTATGGGTGGCGAAGGAGAGGGTGATTAGCAAAAACGTGATTGTCAAACCAACTCCTATGAACTATTAACTCCAACTCGTGTTGCTCGTCGTAGTGGCCATGATCAAACCTGACCCACTGCCTCTTTTGTGGACCAAAACGTCGTAGATTGGCCAGTCTCAAAGTTTTGAGGTTATAACTCGGCAGCTTCTCATTCTTAATTTGGCGTGCTTGCTGGGACCAATTAGTCGACCGGACCAATTAGTAGCCCAAACAAGTCAAATTGTTATTAATCATAAAATACAATACGATAACCAAACCTTCCAAACTAATACAATAACCAAATTAACCAAACTAGAATTTAATTGATTTGGTTAATTGGTTAACCAGATTAACCAATATAACATCACATTATCATCCGGTGAGAAATTTTTTTTATTAAAGCATCAATTCAAAATTTCTATAATGAATAAAACATTACAATGAACACATAGTTACAAGTTATAGTTAATCCTTACAGAAATACATAAAGTATTCACCTAACAAAAATATATGTCAATAGTATAGAGTTAAGTAATTGTTGGGATTGCGTGACTTGAATTAGTCTCTTAGCAATTATCATAGGTTGAAAAAGACCTTCATTTCAAGTTTTCATCTAATATACTATATGAGTTTTTATCTAAATTGGGCGTTTATATATCATGGTCTACAGAGTACAGTCTACAAATACAACTATACAAGGAACAATGTTGAGCTTTATTGTTGATGAGCCGAAAAGGAAGGAATATTTGGATCTTGAGTGGTTATACCAAGTATTAAGTATTTGTAATATAATATTTATTAGTCATATGGACAATTTCTTAACTGGTTAATTTGGTTTTATTGGTTAAGAGTGTATGAAACCAAACCAAATCACCTAAACCAAACAAGCTAAATTTTTTAACCAAACCAATTATTCAAAATAACCAAATCAAATTAGCCAACTACTATCGGTTAAAACAGTTACCATGATAACCACACCATTTGAAGGCTGGCTGAAGGAGGGGTCTTCGCCGTCCACAACTTTTGGGAAGTAGGAAAGATCCTAGGCCTGCACCAATTTAACTAGGTACAAAACATACTCGGGGAATGGAGATTTAGGTACACGTTTCCACTTCAAAGCCTCTTCACCAACATCAAGAGATATGGAACAAACAAGATTATTTAAAGTAATAGGGAGAATTTACAATAATAATAGGGAGAATTTCTAAATTCAACCCACAATCACATAAAAATAAACTACTAAATTGTTGAGGCCAAAGTGGTGCACTCATAAAGACCTCCTTAACCTCAAATGACTTCGCCACTGCACTAACGATTATCTATTCTAATCAGTAATACGTTTTCACAATCTATAATCTTTCGAGCTACATGCATAGTCCAAATTAAAGTACCCTATGGGTTTGAAGCAACCCTTAAACAAATTCATAAACAACATTAACAACTCTTCCTTTCTTTTCCTTTCCTGTTTGACTCGCATAAATCAACTACTTACCTTTCGAAGGGGAGCAGGCAGATAGTTGACCATATGAAAATGATTGTTTGTGTTACGTTTAGGATGATGCATCATCCCCAACTGACAGGATACTAAATTTTGGGTAACCTAACCCATACATGCAAACATGTATGAAACTTTAACCACCCAACTCAGCAAGCTATATATAATTCATTCATTTCTGGATATTTATTATATTATAACCTTCTTATTCTCTCCATTAATCATATATATTCCGAATTTATTCGTCTCAAACTCTCAATATAAGGCAGTCAATTTTGTCGACCGGGAAATCGAGTGGGATTTTCCGAGGGGAATCAATGTACAATAAATATTAAATATGTGATAATTAGGTCAATTTGCAATATGAAGAATCGTGGAATGAAAAATGAGATTAGTCAACATCCATCCATCCATTCAAAATATTTATTCAACCGGTGAATGATGTGCGTTAATGACCAACCGTTGATGACCTTGCATTCCTCTTTTATTTGTGTAAACGCAAGGCCCATCCTTTGCCCTTTTCAATCGTATGACTAAGAATGTGTGTAATATTATGCGAGGAGAAAGCCGTGTTTGTGAAATCATTATATTATTATTGATTCATCATTAACATGCTAAATTGTTAAGTAGCTTTTAGCAGGATGAAACAGTTAGATTGCAATTTTTGAAAGGTGAAGATGATTGATGGATGGACTAACAAATTTGTTCTTGTGTTGCTTAATTGGCTTCCAATTTTGCCGAGTGAAACTTCCCCATTTGTTGAAAGAAACCGTGAAACATGAAGGAAAACAACAACGGGCCAAATCTACTAGTCATTAAATTTCAGGTATATAGCCACAATTTCATGTCTACAAGATTAAATTATTGGATTCATAATTATTAGGATGCATATTACTTGCATTTGTAATTAGGGGTGGGCATCGGTTCGGTACGGACCGGACTAAACTTAGGAGAATCGTGGTCTAATAGTGAAATATATCTTACGACTAAGGATTGGACCAATAGCTGCATTCGGTCCGCTTTGGTCCGGTCCAAATGTCAATTCGCTTCATTTTTCTTCCGTATCTATAAAATTCATAGGACCAAGACCATACCAAATTATATTCGATTCAATGCGATCCGATCCAACAATCAATTTGGTTGGGTATGATCCGGTATGGAGAACCCATTGCCCACCCTTTTTGTAATTATTAGTTTCAGTTGTGCAATAAACCTTCAAATGCGCTACTACTTGATACACATGATATTTTGTGGCTAAATGTACAAGCGATGAAATTTCTGATATAAAAGAAGTCTAACAAGATTCATTTTGACTACATTTTATTATTTAGAATTATTATTCACAGTGTATATTATAAGTCCTTTATAGTCATTTTACACAACCTCTCTTATTAAAAAACACTATTAATAGTTTTTCAGCAAAACACTCAACTGCTTTTTTTGAAAAGTACTTCTCTAAAAGTTCAATCTAGAAACTGCTTCTGCAAAAGTTACAGCAAGACCAAACTGCTATCAAGAAGAGTCTTGTGTATAATTTATTATTATTTTCTTTTTAAGACAACTCTCAAGTCTCAACTAGTCATTCAACATGCTTACTTCAAAGAAAATTTCTCACTTCCTGACAAGGATCATCCTAAAGGAAGTTCACTTTTTTACTTGTCTTGTTAGTCATTTTCGTGTCTTTTTGCTTCTCATAACTTTTATTGGAGCTATCAATGTCGTAGCAAAATTACATCTTTTATCAGTAATTCAATTTTTTATTGACTACCACTGATCGAATGGGCATAATTGTAATTGACCCTTGGTACTACCTTGGAAAAAAAAAAGCAACAACAGGCCAAGCATGTTGTTGACGGGCCGACAGTGACAGGCCTGCGTCGTTAGGAAACTTGGTAGGCCTTCTCATTTATGGGCCTTACTTCATAAGCTCTCGAACCCTTATCGGCTCAAAATGATCACAATGGGCCTACAACATGATCAAGTTAAGCTTGAGCTGGGGACTTGCTGGCTCTTCTGAGTCGGCCGACGATTCTCAACTCGATGGCGAATTCCTCCCCGTAGTTGGAAAATACGATCCTGTAGGACTTCAGAGTTCGCCCGCTGAAGCATACATAACACCTCAGAGCACTGGGCACTGGTTTCCAGCAATTACATTTTGTGGGCAGGAAAGGGTGGAAACAGCAAGGAGGGAAAATAAACGGGTTCGCAATTCGAATTTGGCGCTTAATCGTCGCCGTTGTCCTTTCCGATGAAGCTGCCAAGGCCCACTTCGCATATCTTAAAGCGAGGCGTGGAGGGTCAACCTCCCATCAAGCCCGTCAAAGCGCGGCACGCGCATCTCATCAGACTCCGACTCCAAGCAGACCCATATGCGATGTCCGACGTAATCAAATGGTACGCTCTGTCTCCGTCTCATTTCGGCAAAGCCCGTCTCGCCTTGAACCAAATTGAGTTCCCGACGAGGCCAATTTTCAATCACTTGATCCGCGGCCTGGCGCTTTATCAACCCATCGAAGCGATTGAAATGTACGTCAACCAAATGTATCGTCAGGGGATTGTTGGGGATACTCTGACGATGATCTTTCTTTTCAAGTCGTGCGGTCGTGTCAGGGACGTCTTCCTTGGTCAATTGTTTCATGCCCATTGTTCGAAACTTGGGTGTGATTCGGATTTGTCTGTGTCAAATGTTTTGATACATATGTATGGCTCTTTGGGGGATTGTGTGCCTGCACGCAAGGTGTTCGATGAAATGGGGCAGCGAGACTTGGTTTCTTGGAACTCATTGATCTGTGCTTATGCTGACTGCAAGAAGTTTAAGGAGGTTTTGGGTATTTTTAATTTGATGCAGGAAGCCAATGTGAAGGCTGATGCTGTAACAATGGTCAAAGCAATATTGGCTTGTCTTCACTTAGGTGAACAGCATACAGCAGATTTAATGGTCAAGTACATTGAGGACAACAAAGTAGGGATTGATGTTTATTTAGGCAATGCTCTGATTGATATGTATGGCCAGCGTGGCTCGGTGGATTTTGCTCAGGGAGTATTTGATAGGATGCAAGCGAGGAATATAGTTTCTTGGAATGCAATGATTAGGGCCTATGTAAAATCAGGGAACTTGGTTGCTGCAAGGAAAGTTTTCGAGGATACCCCTAGAAGAGATGTCATCTCATGGACTTCAATGATCACAGGGTATTGTAAAGCTAACCAATTTTCTGATGCAGTCAAAACTTTCCAAGATATGATGGGAGCTAATATAAAACCTGACGAGATCACAGTAGCTAGTGTGCTCTCCGCCTGTGCTCACTTGGGCTCTGCTGATGCTGGACAGGCAATTCATGACTATGTTCTTCAACACGGAATAAAAGAAGATGTCTTTGTAGGTAATGCCTTGGTAGATATGTACAGCAAATGCGGTGCAGTTGAGAAAGCACTGGATGTATTTCATGGAATGAAACACAAGGACGGTGTTTCGTGGACATCTATTATCTCTGGGCTAGCTGTCAATGGTCTTTCTGATGACGCAATAAACCTCTTCTCCCTCATGCATAGAGAAGGTATACATCCAACTCATGGTACCTTCATTGGAATTTTAATCGCTTGCAAACATTCTGGGCAGGTAGATAAAGGATTGGAATATCTTGAAACCATGGAAAAGGTCTATGGCCTGAAACCAGAGATGAAACATTATGGATGTGTTGTGGACCTGTTGAGTCGCTCAGGTAACTTAGAGAGAGCTTATGAGTTTATAAAATCAATGCCGGTAGTGCCAGATGTTGTGATATGGAGAATTTTGTTAGGTGCATGTATGCTCCATGGTAATTTAGAGTTAGCCGAGATTGTCACCAAGAAGCTGCTCGAGTTGGATCCTTTCAACAGTGGAAATTACGTTTTCCTGTCTAATGCATATGCAAGTTCAGACAGGTGGGAAGATGCTGATGAAGTGAGAAAATTAATGATGGAAAGAGCTGTGGGAAAGCCTTCTGGTTGGAGCTCCATTGAAGGGAATGATGGAGATGGGCCGGTTCACCCTCATCAAACCGACCTTGTAGATTCTTCTGTAAAATGATTCGGTTGTCTTAATGAGTCGGCCAACTGAACAGGCATGTTGTGGGAAGTAAGCTTAAAGGTAATCATCTTCCACGTCAGCCACATCTAATGAGATAGCTCGGCTGATTTGTTCTTTGCATCATGGCCACGGCACAGGGCAGGACCATCCCAGCCATGTTGAACTGCTCTGCGATTGGAGTAAAGCCACTCTTTTGGTCCTAAGGATTGAAAGGGACTGCAACATTCATTGGCAACAGCGACAGGGCGGGTCCATATATCTTTGCAGCCATTATTTTTCCACATAGTCATAGATGTATCAAAGATTGATTCGATTGTCTTTTTACTGTCTTTCTCAGTAGCAGATCCGTCCCAAACTTTGAACTTGGGGGTACAGGACAAACTTCCTACCGATCGGTCTACTGTTAATCATCAACTGAAGAGGCATGCTGTGGGAAGTAAGCTTAAAGCTTATCATCTTCCGCGTTACCACATCTAATGAGATAGCTCGGCTGATTTGTTCTTTGCATCATGGCCAAGGCACAGGGCAGGACCATCCCAGCCATGTTGAAACTGCTCTGCGATTGGAGTGAAGCCACACTCTTTTGGTCCTAAGGATTGAAAGGGACTGCAACATTCATTGGCAACAGCGACAGGGCGGGGTCCATATTTCTTTGCAGCCATTGTTCTACCACATAGTCATGGATGTATCAAAGATTGATTCGATTGTCTTTTTACTGTCTTTCTCAGTAGCACATCCGACCCAAACTTTGAACTTGGGGGTAGAGGACAAACTTCCTACTGATCAGTCTCTACCGTTGAACCATCAATTGAGAGTTGAGCCAAATCAAGCAGAGTAGATTTAGCTATTCAATTTTACAGGTGCAGTTGCTTCCGAGTTTTGTACACTTCTGGGTGCTTCAACCCATTTGGGAGTAAAGTAATTCCTAAAGATTGGTGTTCTAAATGTGCTAACTTTCGTTCTTTAATGGTAGTTTGAGCAAGCATTGGTCCACTCATTTCAAAGCAATCTCCTTTTTCTCGAGAGAGTCCAATGTGTCGGTTGGTGAAACTGGAGTTGCTCTCGAACTTTGCCCATTCCAAGCATGTGGTCCAATGGCGGCATTATTGTAGACGATAACGCTACTGACTTTTATCTCTATGGTCAAGAGCCGCCCCGAGGGCCACGATGATATCGGCCTTTTTGGCGGTCTTGGGAGAAGCAGAGTAAAGTCCATAACTTTATTTTTCCCCCTAGAATATTTCTGAACTTTCCCAGTGATTTCATCTTCTGGGTTTGAATCTCTTTCGCCAGTGGTTAGATATACAACTATCTTTCCTAAATTCAACTGGTTTGGTACATCCCCTGTTTTCTTCTCTGTCATGGCAATACAATTTGGCAGGTTCCTGACATCATCTCAATGTCTGTTAGGGTTTGAGTTCTTAGCTTTTTAAGCATACAGAAATGGTGGAAATGATTTGCCGGAGGAGGCATCTTATTATTGAGCGACTCGGTACAAGACTTTTTTGATTTAGCTTTCCTCCCATACCCACCCCAAATTACAGAAACATAACAGAGAAATCTCAGCAATAGCTCATCCACTCCGGCTACTCTCTTAAATCGATTTGCTTAGAGATTGAACATGACTTTAATGGCATTCCCGCCACGAGCACTAGTCTCGAAAGCAGCATCTACACCCTCCTGAGTAAACTTAAACCTGTGAGTTATCAATGGTTTCACATCAATCTTGCCAGTCTTCAGGAAATCGAGGCAGAGTGGCCATGTGTTCCGGTATCGGAATATCCCAATCACATCTACTTCCCTGCAAAACCATAAAAACAACAGCATCTTTCATCAGCCATCCATTTCGCATCCAATGGAACGATGATCATGTTAGCTATCGACGTGATAACGGTTGAATTACCTAGCAGCAGCTGGGGTGAGTGGAACGGTCATCTCACTCAGAGCCAAACCAATGAGGCAAACTTTCCCACCAGAGCGAGTTGCATTCAGAGCTGTAGTCATGGTCTTGTTGTATCCCACACAGTCAAATGTCACATCTATCCCTGTACCCATTGCAGTTTGCACCTTCACCACTTCGTCACTAGCATCCTGTCAGCACATTCACTTGGCACATTAGTCTCATATGAGCCATAGATGCTGAACAAAAAGACCTATATGGTTTTCAAATATGGACCAGACCTTCATTTCAGTCGAGACTTGAATGAGCTCATCAGCACCAAGGCTCTTGGCAATGGCCAAACGGCTCTCATCTACATCGGTCATCACAACTCGAGGAGCACCGAATGCACGTGCAGCCAGCAAGGTAATGAGGCCGATGGGACCTGCTCCCAAGATCAACACACTTGTCTCCGGCCCAACTTGAGCACGGCGACAGGCATGAACACCGACGCTGAGGGGCTCGCACATCGCTCCTTCCTCCAAGCTCACGTTCTCAGGCAGCTTGTAGCATAGGCTCGCTGGGTGTACAACCTACTTGCAGCAAGAAACCTGATTAGTAATCCTCAATAGCCAAAGAGTTATAGCAGAAGCAAGGAGGAATACGGTCATCACCTTGTTGGCAAGAGAACCGTTGGTTGGTGGAGAACCAAAGAACCTCATTTGAGAACACAAGTTGTAGCGGCCATTCTTGCAGAGGTCGCATCTTGAGCAACTGATCCCTGGCTCCAAGGCGACACGGTCACCAGGGGCAAGGTTCTTCACTTCACTACCTACAGCTTCAATGATCCCAGCACATTCATGCCCAATCACCATGGGCTTCTTCACTATGAAATTGGCACATCTCATAGTCTGTCAAAAACAGAACACACAGCAACATCAAGACAGATTGGAACCATTCAAACTTCTGGAAGGGTTAAAGTAAACAGCTTTACAACGAATCATGAAGAAAAAACATGAGAAATCAAGAAGCCAAGTGTATTTTTGTTTTTGTTTATCACCTTGAAGTGATGAACATCACTTCCACAAATGCCAAGCGCCTTTATGCCAACTTTGACATCATGAGGACCTACGAAGAGGCAGAGACAAATAGATAGAGCAAAAGGTTAAGCACTGGCAAATCCATGATCCATGATGAGACAAAGGGTCACTATCAAGCTTTTCTCTCCTTTTCTCTCATTTTGGGTTCAACATTTCCAGTCCCAAAATTTGATGATGGAATCCCTTGAAATACCCAGTTTTCACAAATGACTGCAGATTAATGTTCGAATAAGAAAAGAACAAGGGTTTAATATAAATAAATGGGGGGGAGAAAGGAGAAAACTTTACCAAGAGGAGGAAGCTGGTAAGGCTGAATCCTGAGGGTGTTGACACCGAGAAGCCAAGCGGCCATGTTCTCTTCCTCTCCTCCATTCTTCTGCACCATGATTTCAGCACTATCCGCCATTGTTCTGCTCTGTTTTTTTTTTTTCCTCTCCTCTCCTCTCTCTCACTCCTGCGGCGGAAGAGAAAATGGAAATGTGAGAACTGAGATTGAGAGAGCGTTCGTCAGCCTATGAAGAGGGGTGGAGAGGTATATATATATTGTCCGGAAAGTAGAGAGCGGGGGTTGGTACCGATTTATAGCGAGCCGGTTTTGCTCTTTTTTTTTCAGGATAGAAAAAATAGCAAGTGTATGAAAATTGATCTCTCTCTTTCACTCTAACTGGACCACAATCACTGTTCCGTACCCTAATTTTAACCCTTTGTGTTGTTGGTAGGTGATGAATTGGTGATGTTTTAGACGGGAATAACATATTGGTATATGCTATTTTTTGAGGCTTTCTTGGCCATTGCATGGCGCTACAAAAACAAAAGACAAGTGGGTCGACAAGAATCTCGAACAAGGATGAAAGAAAGGGTAAGGGTAATTTTCTCTACACAAACTAGCTAAATATCGACGATTAGCACTTCTTTAGCATCTATTCCATTTTGTAATATAATGGTCGACGATAGAGATATAAAGAAAAGGGTTTAGTTTGTGGTGTCAGAATTTAGACATTGAACTCGCATTTGGGTCGTCGTAAAAACTACTTGAAGTGGTTTTGTTGATGTGTTGTGCTATTCAACTCTTGGTGTCGTACCAATAGATGAAAACAGAAAAGAGAAATCGAAATTAATGCTAAATACTATCCTTCAGTATTTCTTATACCGTTCTTTTGATTGGTTATCTAATTCACTTTGAATTTGGTAATCAATGACCAAAATAAAAAAATACGTTAGTAATCGTTTATAAAAAGAAGTAAATGTAATGAGCTTGGTCGCATTATAAAATTATGATATTGATTATATACATATTTGTTGTATTATTAGCAAGTAATTGATTACGATTCTATTAAGAGAATAAAAATTTAAGTGTTTTTTTTTTCAATAGACATTATGTTTGTATCATGTTTTGTCTAAAATCTGTCACTTCAAAAGTCAAAACAAGGATGTTTGGAAGCTGGATAAGGATCGAAGTGATATGGATTTGTTTTGAACTCTTATCCTATGTGTTGATTATTATCGGTTGCTTCCTAAAATGATAATACAAATTGTCAAATTTTTGAATATAAGGTCTAGAAATTAAATTAAGGACTAAAATGAGCTTATCCTAAAATCTTCAATAAATGTTTGACCGATATTGGATGATTGCTGATTAGACCATATTTAATTATATTAATATATGTACACCTGACTTTTTTGAAATAATTTTTTTTAAGGAAATTTTTTGAAATAATAAATGTACACCTCACTTATTTGTGGAAAAGTTATCCAAAATTATCTTTGAGTAAATGCACAAAAATACACAAACTTTCAAAGTTTGAACAAAAATAGCCAAACGTTTTAGATTGTTAGACAAATATAGCCATTCGTTAGTTCTCTGTTAAATTTACCGATGTCGCTAACAGTTAAGCACACATTGAAAGCCACATCGTCAACAAAATCATGAAATGAATATCATAAATGAAAAATATATATATTAAAATTTGATTTAAAGCTTTGTATTTTTATTATATTTTCATGTTGGCTTTGTGTTAAGACTATCAGTCAAAGTGTTTAACCATTTAAGTTGATGGTTAACCAACGAACCGGTCCAAATTGTCTGAATTATTTTGAAATTCTGAATATATTAGGAATTTACGTGTCAAGGACGATGATGATGTGGACGTGTGTAGATTACGAGTATTTGATAAGTATAACATTTAATTACATAGATAACGATTCATTCAATTGGGGGGTTTAGATAGGCCTGTCTATGATAATTGACGGGAGCCAAAATTAGGATTTTGTAGTGTTGGAATTGTAGACAACTTCGACTCCTCATTACCAAACTGATTAGTAAACTTAAAGATACTTGGCGACGTTACCAATTGAATAATCACAATTACGGAGTGTGATTGTGATGTAATCACAAAAGCAGAGACAGATTTTTGTCATTACCACGTGGCCATCACTTTCAACTTTATTTTGTTGATCGGATTTATAGTAAAAGTGGATGGATTATAACGTCATGGAAGAGATTTGGGGAAGCAAAAGAGTAGGAAGAGATTGTTAAATGTAGTTTCTTGTCAAATGTAGTTTTAAAATCTAAGCCCAAGAATTGAAATGTAACATTCTACTAAGGGGTCGTTTGGAGAATCTGAGTTTAAATCTATAAATTGTCAAGAATCTAAAGATTCTAACTCTTCAGATTATTGAAAATAGATTTTAAAATGTTTATTGTTTGGTAACTGTGATTGTTAACATTCAATGAAAATAAAAATAAATTTTTTATATTAAATAACATGTTAATAAAAAATTACAGTAGTTCGAGAAATATTAAAAACTTTGTTAGTAAATATATTTAATATGATAAATAAATAAAAGAAAGAGAAAAGGTAGGAGAAAAAAATCTCATGAATCAATATATAGAATCTCTCTGATTATGAGAGGTTTGATATCCATAGATTTTAGAGATTTGAAATCTCTAAACCTAAAATCCACAATACAAAAGGCAACACAAAAACATAACTTTTTACAAAATCTACGGACTCAATGAATCCACTTCCTAAATCCGATTCTCCAAACGCCCTCTAAGAAATCAATGAAGTGAGTTAGTACTTAGTAGATTGTTAGGTCCAGACAACTCACTGGTCCAGGCCCAAGAAACTAAGCCCAAGAAAATGAATTAGCCCTATTAATTAAACTATAATTGGCAAAGCGACTCGTGTCATTGGTGACGTTTGAGATGGTGACTTCTTCATATAATTTAATAAATGTTTCGTCAATTTTTTTTATACATTAATCGTAATGCAAATAAAATTAACTATATGGTGGTACGAGACTGACTTGCATGGCAGATTTGCAAATTCATAGCATGAAGTTTTATTTATTTTTCATTTTAGAGAATCTGGGGACCATTAGGATTAGATTCTATCAATAATTTGTTATCTCATCCCACATCCTGTCCAAGAATTTTTCGTTCTTGGCAGGCCAAGCTTATCTTAAATACGTGTTTGAATTGAAATCCAGAACGAACAGTAGAAAAATCAGGAATTTTGATTTTTTGGCAAAACCCAAACATCTTATGCGGTTAAGGGAAAAATGAATTTTTATTTTAAATTCATGTATATAATTCATTTCCAAATTAATTTTTATATTTGAAACGTAATATTCAAATTGTGAGAAATAAAAATGAATTTATTTTCCTAATCATGTTTGGAATATGTGCAAAGTTGAATTAAATTGGAAGTTTCCAACTAAACTCTTATAAATTTCCAACAAAAATACCATTGCTATTACTCATTGAAAATCTACTTTCTAAAAGTCAAGTGTCCAAATTATCATCCAACAAATCCGACCAAGCAAAAATAGGAATAAATAGCAGCATAGTTACATACTTGTAGGTTAAGAGAAGAATGAAACTATGAGAGTCACCCGGAAAGCACACAAAATAGGATATAAAAGCCAAATGATGATAATATATTAGGTTAAGTAGTGGCTCGACGGAGAAAGGTAAGACGCGCAAATATGAAGTATTGGCTCTAAATTATGCATAGGGGTGACTTACTTAAAATAATTGAGGATAGTTATGTCATTTTGTGGAATTGATAAGACTAGCATCAATTTTGCAAAATTCAATATTTAGAATTAAAATAAATTTCTTTATATTCTAAATATAAATTATTTTTTGAAAATAAATTTCTAGATCTTAAGAAAATCATTTATGCAAATTTGTTTTATATTCGGATTGCGACAAAAAAAAAAAAAACATGTGGTGCCTTATCCTTTCCAACTGATCTGACTCATCCCCTCGTGCCCACTGCCCACCATGATTCTATACTTCCTTCCCAAGCTCCCAGTCGCTTTCTCGCATTTTTCAGCAAATCGCCTCTTTTTCTGGGCTACTGTAGGTTTCTTCTGTTGCTTTTCCCCTCACTCTCAGTCCATCACTCCATCTAAGCTTGAGGTTTTTGGAGGTTCGAACGGGTAGAGAAGGATGGGTTCGCAAGGAGATGTGAGGAACGGAGGAGAGAACATGGCAGCTTGGCTGGTCGCAGTCAACACCCTCAAGATTCAACCTTTCGAGCTCCCTCCACTCGGTTCTTCTTTATCTCCTTACTTATTCCTCTGTTTTTCCTACTGCAACTACTGATATTCCTCTGCAAATAGAACAAAACATGAAACACCTTTTTGGCCTAGTGGGTTTTGCTTTGATTGAATTGATAACTTCTCTACCCTTTCTAAGTTGATTCGATTCTAAAGTTGAAAGCTCTGTGCTTTTTAGGACCGCATGATGTTAGAGTAAGGATGAAAGCTGTTGGAATCTGCGGGAGTGATGTTCACTACCTTAAGGTCACCTTCTTTGGTCCATAATTCCTTTATTATTATGATTGATTATTACACGCATCAGTGAAGATTGGAATGGATTCCCCGCTACCCTCTTCTCCTCCTATCAAGTGGGAACTCTATTCTGAAGTGGACCAATTTGTTGGAAAAATTGATGATCTTTGTCTTTACCATCATCCTGTCAAATTTTTTTTCAGACCTTGAGATGTGCACATTTTGTGGTGGAAGAGCCAATGGTGATTGGCCACGAATGTGCTGGAATCATAGAGGAGATTGGTAGTGAAGTAACTCATCTTGTCCCCGGGGATCGTGTGGCACTGGAGCCTGGGATCAGCTGCTGGAGATGCAGCTACTGCAAACAAGGAAGTTACAACCTTTGTCCTGAGATGAAGTTCTTCGCAACTCCACCTGTTCATGGCTCCCTCGCCAATCAGGTTGATTGACCCACAAGCCACCATTTCCTAGCTGAGCCAGTGTTCTGACTAAAGCTCCAATCTTTATTCTTTACTCTGACTATTGTTGCAGGTGGTGCATCCAGCAGAACTTTGTTTCAAGCTGCCCGACGACATAAGCTTGGAGGAAGGAGCAATGTGTGAGCCCTTGAGCGTTGGGGTCCACGCCTGTCGTCGAGCCAATGTGGGTCCGGAGACTAATGTCTTGATCATGGGAGCTGGGCCCATTGGCCTCGTCGCGCTGCTGGCTGCTCGTGCTTTTGGAGCACCAAGGGTTGTGATTGTGGATGTGGACGAGTTTCGCTTATCTGTTGCCAAGGATCTTGGCGCTAGTGAGACTGTTCAAGTGTCTACAAAAGCTGAGGTTCTTAAACCTTCCTTTTCTCCAACCCTCATGGGGTTAGGTTAAACCAACTACTGGAAACTAAAAGGGACGAATTGCGATTTGCAGGATGTGGCTGGAGAAGTGGAACTGATAAAGAAAGCCATGGGAGAAGCAGTTGATATAACTTTGGACTGTGCAGGGTTCACTAAGACCATGACGACTGCACTGAATGTCACAAGGCCAGGTGGCAAAGTGTGTCTCGTGGGAATGGGTCACAATGAGATGACAGTGCCACTGACTCCTGCAGCCGCAAGGTCAGTAATCCCTTCTTTCGCAAGTTTGTGGTTTGATCTCTAGTTTAGTTGAACTTGAAGTTGGCTTGCGACTTAAGGAAGCGAAACATGTGCAGGGAGGTAGATGTGGTTGGCGTGTTCCGGTACAAGAACACATGGCCTCTGTGCATAGATTTCTTGAGGAGTGGGAAGATAGATGTGAAGCCACTGATAACTCACAGGTTTGGCTTTTCACAGAAGGAGGTTGAAGATGCATTTGAGACCAGTGCTCGTGGTGGCTCTGCCATTAAAGTCATGTTTAACCTCTGATCATAGAAAGAAGGCTTACATATGATTATGCAGATCCTATTTGAATTGTACAAACTCGAAAGAAAAGATTCATATGTTTTGAAATAAAGTAGGCGTGAGACATTATTCTGCATATATCAATTACCCTTTTCGCATATCTGCGATAGCAATTTAGCATACTTCAGCTTATTCATACAAATTTGGTCAACCAGAATGGATTTCAGGCGTTCTTAGTCGTGTTAGCTACTAAGAACACCAATAAAGGAAAGATTGAAATTTCTAACAGTTCACTCTCTTCTTCTACTAATAGAATTCCATAAGGTTTTGATGTGTATCTATTATTTAGATTAGAGGCAATAAACTGTCATTTCAAAGTTGTTCCATTTACAACTTCCCTCGAGATTACCTCGAGATTACCTTATAGCCATCATTCCCATCAACAGCAAACATTTCCAGACCTCACTAATCACTCTCTCCTCCTATCAGTACTTAGCTAAAAATATATGCATATCGTCACGAAGAAAAAGAAATTTGGCTAAAACATAAAGTGCCAACAGCCTAAAACCAATGCGCTGGCTATGAACACTCTTTTACTTTCTCATCATCTTTGCTGCATAGAACATGATCCTGCTGCGTAGAACACGAGCTACCCTTTTCACCACCTTCTACTTCTTAACCGAAGGCCAGAGGGTAGTAGTGCTGATCCTTTTCACCACCTTCTGGATGGTGGAACCTAATGTTGCTTCGGATTAAGAGCAACTGCATGGCAGTCGTTAAGATCATAACCTGATGCATGACCAACTCAACACAATTTCATAATTTTCCAAGATATACCGCTCTACTTTCCGTCTCCAAACACCCAACAACGGAGTCCCGGCATTTGCAGCTAATGTAATTGAAATGAAGTGCAAAGTCCCTTCTGAGATTGCAATATCACAGTCTCTCCGTCTTTGGCTAGGGCGTGGAATAGGATCAACATGAGCAACCAGGCTGAAAGGATTGAAAGCGTAAATCCAAAAACGTCTCGTTCCATAGCTCTTACATGACCAAAACAACTCGCCATTGCAGGAAACTACATTTGTTTGAAACAGTCTGATATAACTGTCGAGAAACAAACAAGGGCCTCTTTCGTCCATTCTTCAAACTCCAAACAAAACACATCTGCTTTTACAGCCCTCATCAATTGGTATACACACACTACCCGGAACTAACAATCAAGGTTGTAATTAGAACTACTAAGAGGTTCACAAGCTAACCTTGCAGCCAATCCAAGGTACTCACCGTCACGATCATCCTCAATTGATTCTGCAGGCAATGAAGGAAGGACGAGACGTTGCATCGTAAGTCGTAACCATATTGCAGACAAAGAGAGAGATGAGCAACGTCGAGTGTCTGTTCGCATACGTGAATTAGAAGTCCATCATAGTAAACGAAACTGGATTTTCAGTTTTCACAAACACTGTATATAAACAAACGGGTTCATTCATATATTTCGAAATACAAGCATGAGAATAGTTTACCGCTTATCAGTTCTTCATTCTGCATCTTCTTCCTTGTAACAATTGAAGTTCTCGGGAAATCAAATCAACCCTTCAACTTATTCATACAAATTGGGTCAACCAGAAAGAAAAGTTAAACGTGGCTAAACTACATATGGATTCAAGCGTTCTTCTTCTTTGTTCTTTCATTCGTCTTCATCGTTACAGAAAAGCCTCACTCAACAATGACTATCATGGCTGTGTAATGCCAACTAAGAATATCAAAAAGATTTAAGAAAAATGATGTTTCTACAATCCACTTTCTTCTAGTACTCGTTATTACCAAAAAAAGGTGGAAAACTAAGCTGAAGTGATGAAGAATAATATACGATGACACTGGCAAAACACAAAAGGCCGATTCATCATCAAGTCGCTGCAGTTGCTTGTTGTTCAGCTTTACAATTCCACACTCTCACTTGGCCGGTTCCATCCCCGGTGAAGAAGAGGCCACCAGGACCAGCCTGAATTGCTCGAATCTCCTGTTTGGAGAAAATTTTGCCCCTCTCTGAAAACCTGTGCATTCATACACAATAACAGTTGCAGGCTGTCAGAGCTCGTCATGTATGGAGAAGAGATTGGAAAGCGACGAGATTCTGAAACTCACGATGGCAAGTCATATATCCGGACTGAGTTGTCATTACAAGAGCATAACAACAATGGCTTGCCTTCCAAATCATGCATTCCACATAGCTTAAGGAGTCCCTGCAGCAGGCCAAATTTTTGCATCACTTAAACAAATCCATGCCAGTAGATATTGTACAATTTTGGAGTATGGATTCTTGCTTATGACTTCTTCACAGGACTAAATCACATTTTCTAGTTTATTATCATCCCTAGTAATATACAATCTCTAAACTATAGACAGTTAAATGTACTATGATATTCTTGATGTCCCTCAAGATCACTGGATCTTAATTCTAGATATAGAACGTTCAAATGGTTAATCAGGCACCTCCTTTATCAATAAAGCACAGGGGAAGGCAGGTCATCACAGTTGTGTCCTGATTTGAAGACTTGAGATTTCAGTAAGACGGTTGGAATATACTAAAGATAGTAAACATGCTCCAGAGTAACTCGGCTGACAGAGACACCAAAGCAAACCTAATGTTTCTAGTAAAACCAAACAATACGGCACTAAGAAAAAATCAGCCATGGCCTAGTTATTACCTCATTAATGAGAAAAAATAGAAAGCTTACATGTTCTTCTTGATGTGTGAACGTTACTTCCAGATCCCCTCTTTCTGTGGCGGCCCAGACCTGAAAAGGAAGACAACACGACTAATTCATTGACTTATTTAAGGTAAAGTATGGATCACAATAATAAACACTCAGTTTGACATTGTGACTATACCTTAATTGTCTTATCTAATGAACTTGATAAAAGAAACTGGTCCCAGCAAAGAACAGACATAACAACTGAAGTATGCCCTGTCAAGGTTTGTATGCACTGCAAATTTTCGAGGTTCCAGACCTAGAAAAAAAAAAGATGAATATAGGTAGCAAACGTAACAGTTAAAAACAATAAAATGTAGCTGAAACGGGTAGTACGATAAGATCAAGAGAGTGAACATACCTTTATAGAATTGTCCATGGAACCAGAGAAGAGTCTATTAGCTCCAACAACTAATGAGACAACAGCTAACGAATGGCCTTTAAGTGATGCAGCTGGCTCAAAGATGCTAGTTGCTGCATTATATCTCCATGCCAAGATTGCTGAATCCTGCACAGGTGTAACCATTTAAACAGGTATGAGTTCCTCATCCTCTACAAATGCAAATGATGACTACAGGAAACAGGAGGATGAATATTATCATCCAGAAGTCTAAATGCAACAATAACATCCACAATATGTCCATATTCACAAGTTTATTAACTTGAGCCACACATAAGAACAGAAAGATATGTGATCCAGTGAAATATTACCTGGGTACCAGCAAATAGCAAGTCACTACCCACAACCATAGCATAAACTTGTCCAACTGGCCCGCTAAGACTTAAGTCAGCGTTGGTCTGTAAGTTCCATGCCTGAAAAAATATGCAAGTTCTTAGAAACCAGTTTGAAAAGGGACCATCACTGGTTAAGAAAAGAATTAAGTGAACACAATGCAGATACTACCTCTCCAACAGCCATAAACTAAAAGCACAGATCAAGCATATTGGAACTTCACGAGAAAGTGATGAATTTCATGTCTTCCTAACCTTCACAAGATTCGGGATACCGACAAATATCCATGGACCTTCTGTGATCATACAACCCACTTCACCACCCAGATTAATAACTCCCATGCACTGGAAAAATACGGCAAGCAAACTATCAGAAAACTGATACATCAAGAGATTACTGAATAAGGAATATGCAGGAACCAACTATTAGTGCAGTTGGAATATAATAAAACCGAAGCAAACCTGGCCGGATTGGCAATCCCAAAGCCTGACAGTTTCATCTTGGCTTCCCGTGTAAAGCTTATCAGACCCAGATGGCAAAGCAATCCCACTGACAACCTGCTCATCATAACAAGAAGCAATCAGTACGACAATGCCGGTAGCATAAGACACCAATTAAGGAAAGAAAAGACAGAAAGCTCATACCTTTTGATGCCCTCCTTCAAGTTGCGTCAACAAAGAGAAACTATCGCCTAAACTCCAACTATGTAAATACCTGCAGCCCTCCCCGAAAGTACAGCTCCCTTGTATCCAATAACTACACAGTTTATCCGTCTTCTTGACCACTCTATTATTTCCAGTCCGCCCCCAAGTCGACGAACTATTGAAGTTCGGGGCCCTCCGAGTTGGGGGAGGCCCCGAGAACCCGGAATCGTTAGAGAACCCGCGCTTGGCCGGATGGCTGCCGTTAGAAGCAGTGGCAGCGGAGTTCGGCGGGGGCAATTCCCGGTGGAGGAATGGGCAGGGGAAGCGGTTGCACTTGCCCGCCCGCCAATGAAAGCAGACTCTCTGGTTCTTGTTGGAATCGTTGTGGTTCCCCCGCGGTCCTCCTCCGCCGGCGCTTAGCCGGTGGAAGACGCCTTTATTGCCGCCGTGAGCATCGAAATCCATCTCTCCGATTATTTAACTTCGGAGCAAGAGGAACAAACTAAGGCAATGAAAGCTCGTCCGTCTGCTTAACTGGAGTGAGCCGGGAGTATTGCAGACGAATCCGATCATGAAAAAAAACCCTAATTGAATCCTTTCCAGTAACAGCTTCGGGCGAGCCGCCGCGCTGATTGGGTGCTGGACCTGCTCTTGGAGCTTCGCAAAGCAGATGAAGAATTTCGTGGGGGAAACTAGGCGATGCCGTAACTCCGATCTTCTGTCTCTCACGCGGTGGCCAACTCGCGCGATTGCGGAAGTTGGGAAAGTAGCTGACGGAGAAGAGAAAGGCAATTATGCGTCGTCGACACCCGGCCGTGCAACGGTGGAGGATGCTCATTTACAGGATCACCCTTATAAGAACCGTAGAATTACTACACTTGCCCTTATACCGTATTTTATACGCATCGAAACTAGTTACTAGTTAGTAATAATTACTCGTTTATTACGGGATTATTTACTTTATAATCCTTTTTTTTGTGTGAACAGGGCGCTAAGGGCGTTCTAACTTTTATTGCAAACTAGTACGGAGCCCGATCTATTGGTCGAGTTGCTCCTGAAATATTTCTTGTTTTTCTTTTGTGGTAGTGTATTTCTTTCGGATGAGTGGAAGTAATGAAATAGATTGGAACTCTAATTTATTTCTCATAGGTGGGAAAAAAAATACTTGGATTACTCTTTCATATTATTATGACCACTTTATGAAACAAAATACTAAATTAAGCATAGAAAAAATGAACTGAAATAAAGCGATCATTTCACATATTTACTTCAAATAATGGTACATTTATATATAAACATAAAATTTTTCGGCCAACGAACCGAACCCATATCACTTATAATACTAATTTTAAAATAGTTTGGATTTCTGACCATCATAAAAGAAAATACTATAATACATAAACCCCAACTAAGGATCAAAAGTAAATAAAAAAAAGAGGACGAAATAAATAAATAAATAAAAACTAATTCATTGTCCAGATGTCTTTTACCAAAAAGATAGTGATTAAAAAGAAAAGTGGGGGACGTGGACAGTGAGGTTGTAAAAGAAGGAAGTTAGTCTCCCTCTCACCTGTTCAAGAAAAGAAACCGTTAACTTTTCCAAAAAAAAAAAAATAATAATAACTGCTAACAATTTTGTGCAAATAGGACAGAAGGAAGTGACAAATTAGCCCTTCCGATACATGCGGTTTGATCAGCAGAGGCTGACGTGGCAAACTCTTTTTTTTTTACATTGGCTTATATGTTTTTTTAGACTAAAAAGATGGAGTGTTTGATTCCCTGCAATGTCAAAATACAGCCAATAACGTAAAGAACTACTCGGGATTTGAATCCCGTGAACCCCGATGGGTAAAGAGTGACCAATGAAAGCGAGGTGATCAGCCACAAAGTTCGCTTCTCTGTAAACATGCTCTATCCTTACAAGACACGGTCGAGCTAGCCAACGGCGGATCTCTGCAACATAGGTGTAGTGTGGATGTTGTGGTGTAGCATTCTCGATCAGAGTCTTCGCAATGTAGGAGTCTGTCTACAGAATAACCTTCCTGACCCCTCCTCCCGAGCCAGCCTCAGCCCATAAGCAATCCAAGCCAGCTACGCACGAGTAATCGAACCCCTCCCAAGTTCGTTGTGAAAGCTCTAATAAAGCGTACATCGTCTCCCCTCACGATGTCGCCACCAGTCGTGCTCGCAGGAGAGTGACTGACTGAGCCATATGTGTTGATTCAGGCTCAGCCTCTCGGCGGTGGATGCCAGTTAATGTCCCGCCACTCTCGGAGTCCCCCCCCCCCCAGCTACAAATATGGTACTCTCCTGTTCGAAGGCTGTGTGTATCTGTTGCCTTAGTTGTTTGGTGATGAACTGGATTTGCTCATGGGTTTTCAGCTCGCTCTGGAAGAGGTCATTCCGGTTCTTCCACAGAAGCCAGCAAGTGCTTGCAAAAATAGTGCTATCAACGATATTACTGCGCCCTGATAAGAAATGCAGAGACCACCGGTGAATGTGAGGCTCGAAAAAGGTGGTGTCTGGCTCGTCTTCAAGAAGTCCCGCTCGCGTAGCTCTCGCAAATGGACAGTCCCGAACGACATGGATAGTAGTCTTAGGGCCCCCGTCGCAGATCTTGCAACTTGTATCCTCAATCAGATGTCTCCGTCCTCTCTCCTCGTTTGTCAGCAGGCGATCATGGTTGAGGAGCCAAAGAAATATGCGCACCCGCTGCATCGTCGGAGTTTTCCAGATGGATCTCCAAATCGAGTGGTTCAAAATTAGGCCGTCCACCATGTCCGTGACCTCATACGTTGTCCGAAGGGAGAAGACTACATTTGGTGAGAGGCGCCACACTCGGATGTCAGGCTCGGTCTCAGTTGGCACCGGGTGGAGCCGTACCTGCGAAATAAATTCCTCCGACAAGTAAGCACGTAGATAAACCTCATTCCACTCACCATTTAGAACGAATTCCGCCACAAGCATAGTCTCCATCTCCGGGGGGAGATTAGGGGCATGTTCCCGGAGAATAGTCGAGTCGTCCAGCCACCGGTCACTCCAGAATCTAGCCACCCGTCCGTTTCTGATGTCCAAGCAGTAGCATCATCCACCAAATGACTGACCCGTAGAACACCCCCTCCATAGGTTAGATAGGCTCGATCTCTCTTTAGCAAGCTTGTCAATCTGGTTTAATCCATTGATCTGATCGGACAAGTGAGTTAAGAGTTAATAGTTTGATTGTTTTAGCCTGTATATATATAAAAAAGTCATTATATTATTCATTACATTTACAAATTGTATTAAATTTCATCTAACGTATGAGTAATAACATATAACATTACACCAAAATAATAGGTCGTACTTGAATCTAACGTATGGTGAAAATTCACATACTTTTACGAACATAATCAATTGTGATTGTGTAGACAATTCAACCTTTTGAAGGTACAAATTTGGTAATGCCTGAAGGTGAAAAATATAATCCACCTCAGTGATTGTGGCCGTAACAAGTTAGGAAGCTTGGAATTCATAACCATGACGATCAGATAGATACTTTTACGAACAGAAGACGTCGCTAGTATGTGCAATAGTTATGTAGTGGACTCTCATTGCTCGTATTGTGGGCTTCACTCTCGTGTGTGTTGAACATCAACCATTCGAAAGAACAAAATTGCTGATTGGGCGGCTCGCAATTACGATATGAACACTCTTCTCCCATAGTTTCTCTCTATGTTTTATGTTATTCCTTAAATGTAAATATAACACAAGGAAGTTTTCTTATCTGAAGGATTAGATTCCTAAATAAAGAAGGAAATGGTGCTATTAGAACGCAAGACTAGTTGGAGAGGACATAAGTCTAAAGAAACCAACTAGTATGATAATGAGTGTTAGAATATGACTTGAATTTGATTTGGGTTTGTTTTGTGTTTTAGGCTTATTCTATTTGGGTTTGGGATTGGGTTTTGTTTTGACCTTTTCCTTGTATGTTTGGGAAAAGGTATTTGGTTTTTGGTTTGGGATTAGGAGAAGAGTTCTATAAATACTCTTCATCACCCTAGTCTGTAGTAGGGTCAGTCAGGTTAGTTTGTTTGGTTTGTCCGTTTGGAATTTGGTTTGTAACCTGTACTCTCCTCAAATTAGTGAAATTTGTCCCCCCTGCCCGTGGATTAGCTAGCACACATTGTGTTAGTGAACCACATTAAATTTGTGTTCGTTCGTGTTGGTTTGGATTATCGATTGCACGCTTCTATTCTGACAAGTGGTATCAGAGCCTGGTTGCGGTTTTGGGAATTTGGTGCTGGACTGAAGTTTTGCTTTGTGGAGTTTGGTTGGAGTTTGTTTGATAGTAAGAATGACTGCTATCAGTATGAAGATTGAGAAGTTTACCGGAAGAAACAGTTTCAGTTTATGGCAGATCAAGATGCAAGCACTGTTGAAACAACAGGGTTTGTGGGCTCCATTGTCTGGAAAATCGAAGAAGGAAAGTATAGATGAAGAAGAGTGGAGTACTTTGGAAGAGAAAGCTCACTCTACAATCTTGCTTTGTTTGGCTGATGACATCATCAGTGAGATTGCTGCTGAGAAGACTGTCGCGGGTTTGTGGTTGAAGCTTGAAAGTCTATACATGACAAAGTCTTTAACCAACAAGTTGCATATGAAGCAACGTTTGTTCAGTTTGCGTATGGAGGAAGGTACGCCTCTCAGGAATCATCTAGATCATCTCAATACCATCTTGCTAGATCTGCGGAATATTGATGTTAAAATAGATGATGAGGATGCTGCCTTAATTCTGTTAGTATCTTTGCCACAGTCATATGAGAATTTTGTGGATTCTTTTATTGCTGGGAAAGATAGTTTGTCTTTGGAAGATGTCAGATCTGCTCTACATACTAGAGAGGTTCTAGATAAGGCATCTGGTTCAGGTTCGGAAAATCAGGCATCTGGGTTGGCTGCTACTAGTAGTAGGAGACAACAATCTGGTAATAGGAAGGCGAATACAAATTCGAATTCTGCTGGTTTGAAGGATGATATCTGTCATTACTGCAAGGAGAAAGGACATTGGAAATTTGATTGTCCTAAACTGAAGAAATATCAGGAGAAGAAGGAATCATCTGCTGTTGTGGCGGAAGAAACTAACTCTGATTCTGAAGATGGTTTAGCCTTAGCAGTGAATGAATAGTAACATCATCAGGATGTGTGGTACTTAGATACTGCAGCTGATTATCATATGTGTCCAAGCAGGGAGTGTTTTTCAACTTATGAGCAGATAGATGGAGGACATGTTTCTATGGCCAATGGTGCTGTCTGTAAGATTGTTGGAAGAGGCTCCGTCAGGATGAGGACACATGATGGTTGTAACACCCTACCCTATACGTTTTGCCTAATCATATTGTTCATACAATTGCAGCGGAATTAATCTCGGGTGTTACATTAATTATCAAAATTTACCTAAATAAAATTTCGACATGAATTACTCGTGTAATGGGCTAACAGTTCTTGCAACTTATCCTGCAAAATAATTCATCACAAACATATATACTCACAACCATATGCATTGGCTTTCATAGCCATAGGCACAGTTTCATACTACACAACTGCATACCGTACTAATACAAGCCATAATCGTCATAACTTACACAATTACAAAAATATACACATATCATCAACTTTCCACACCTGTGGATATCTCACACTACATCAGAAGCTAGTATGCACATGAAAAACGTTCTCAAAACATTTTTACAAAAAGGTGTGGATCACTGGCCAAAATCCCGAGTAGTAGTAGTCCAAGCACAGAATAGTTGAAGACCATACCTCATCCTGGCTTCAACTCTAGCTCCTCTCCCACCTAACACTTATCTACTGTTGTTGCTGATGATCTGCTTACACATAGCATAAGCAGAGAAGAAGAATAAAAGAGGGTCAGCTCATAGCTGAGTGAGATAATCATAGCATCGTGAGTTCATAACAGAGCATACCCCTATCATACATCTAACAATCAAGCCAAAACACTAGGATCGGACCTCAGCCATCCTCATATCCCAATAGGCAAAAGACTCAACCACTTTGACTTATGCATATGCATCTTATCATGTTTTAATCATAGGCGCCTGGCTACTCCCATGCTAATAACTCTCCCGGGAAACATACCCCACATCCCGTCGGATGTAGTCATAAATACCCCAACATCCCGTCGGATGTGGTCATACATACCCCACACCACTATGGGTGTGGTCATATCTCGTAAGAATTCTTCAGTCACCACAACATGAGAGGTGTGACTATCATATATATCATAATAGAGTAATAGCATAGGGAGCCCTAATTACTATGTAGTTGACCGTGAGACCACAACCCTCATATTTGGTATCCTTATACATGATTCATATCTCATCTTGCTTAATCATAATTCATTACTTACACATGTACTTGACTTGGCCATAATTGGCTCAACATAGGTAAATCAGGAGTCGTATAATTGCACTTCCTCGGGATAAACCCTCGTGCAAGTCATCATCCTTAAACATCATAATATTATCAGGGAATATATATTTTCCCATTTGTGCATCCAAATACAACAATCATGAAAAATCATACCCAATCACCTTTTCGAACCCTCGTAAAGCATATTAACAGTCAAGCCCACAATTTGCAACCTATACACAATCATCAGCATAAACAAGGTTCATATTGATTAGGGCAAGTCAATAATATCATACAACAATCCAGGGTTCAACATATAGCACAAAAGTTCATACACCCCTAATCATGCCATTCTAGTTCACCTAGGTCAATTCTAAGCATCAATATAATAATCGTGATACGATAAATCCGGTATGCCGTGCTAATGCCTCACCAGTTCTGGTCGTTCAAACACCGGTTCTAGCCTCCCGTACTAAAACGTCAATTTCCCAAACGAACCCCGTATTAAAATCCGAGACCTTCCTAATATCCCCTGCAGTATCCCCGTCAATATTAGTTCTGGGCTCCGGGTCAAATTCTCGATAAAAACACATCAAACCCTGGCCGGAGCTAAATTCAGCGGTTTGGACCCCGGCCTAAATAATAGCCGAAATTCAGGGATTAGAACTAGAGGATTGATTACCTCGCTGCAGTGAGATCGTATATGAAATTTGGGCTCAATCCGGCTTCCGGATACTCCGAAACCCTAATTTGGCTTATCGGGAATTCAAGAAATTCCTGAACCAAAAACTCGTTTTAAAGATCTAAATCGATAAATCACGATGTATAGATGAATTAGGCATTACTTACGGGATTTTTGGATCACTTATGCTCAAGAATCGAGCCTTGGAGTTTTTCCCCTGACGTTCCCCTGAAAGCTCTCTCCGCTCGCTCTGGTTTTTGATCTCTCGGTGGAAAATGGAAATAAACGATGATGATGTGAATTAAATGGACGGAGAGTATATATATATATATATAATTAATACGTATACTTATCCGATCGATCGATAATCCGATTGTCGCCGAAATAGTGTCGAAATGCTCGATTTTAAATCGCGAACTTTCTAGCGATCGAAATATGGGTTTTGCCGGAACGGGATGTTACAATGGTTCTGTTCGCACCTTGAACAATGTTAGGCATATTCCAGAGATGACTAAGAATATGATATCTTTGAGTCTACTCGATGACAAGGGTTTCAGTTTCAAAGGTGAAGGTGGAGTGTTGTCTGTCTACAAGGGTTCTAAGGTAATTTTGAAAGGTGTCAAGCGGGGTGCCTTGTATAATCTACAAGGTTCGGTTTTGACATGTTATGTTGGTGATAAGTGCAACAAGTTGGTTCTGAATGGCAAGTCTCAATATGGATTGGACTTGCCGAATGGTTTGAGTTGTTGACCGCCCTTAGGGGCATTTGGAGGCAGGGGAGATTCTGGTACTGCTGATTTGGAGGAGTTAGTACGTCTGGCAATTTGATAGCATCTGAGTTTGGCGATTTGCATCGCGTTTGAGTTTGGCGGTTTCGATCGCATTTGGATACGTCTGGCGATATGTATCGCGTCTGGGTACATCTGGCAACTTTGGTTGCGTCTGGTACATCTGGTATTTGAGAGAAAATTCAAGTCAAGGTGGAGATTGTTAGAATATGACTTGAATTTGATTTGGGTTTGTTTTGTGTTTTAGGCTTATTCTATTTGGGTTTGGGATTGGGTTTTGTTTTGACCTTTTCCTTGTATGTTTGGGAAAAGGTATTTGGTTTTCTGTTTGGGATTAGGAGAAGAGTTCTATAAATACTCTTCATCACCCTAGTCTGTAGTAGGGTCAGTCAGGTTAGTTTGTTTGGTTTGTCCGTTTGGAATTTGGTTTGTAACCTGTACTCTCCTCAAATAAGTGAAATTTGTCCCCCTGCCCGTGGATTAGCTAGCACACATTGTGTAAATGAACCACATTAAATTTGTGTTCGTTCGTATTGGTTTGGATTATCGATTGCACGCTTCTGTTCTGACAATGAGGATTGAAGATTATAATGTTCAACTCATGCTTATCCTTCTATCTTACATTGGAGAGAAAGAACTCTAATGTTCACCAACCAGTTTGTGCACCTCCTCACTTGTCAATATAACAACAAACTCTCTAAACATAGAGGCACAAAGAAAAACAACCAAACTATACGTTAAAATTATCAAACAACTGGTATACTGAGAAACCAAGTTGTGTTCCCTTCCAATCAAGCAACTTCATCTAGATGTACCACCAGGTTATACCAGCTCACAAACTCTCTAGTTTGCTTGAGGTAGTTTGACTTCAGGGTGTCCAACGCCAAACTCCACTCCATAATCGGCGTATCCAGTATATGATTATATCAGACTATCACGTACAACTGATAATTTAACAAAAATTACATCACAAAATTAAGTAGGCTTATATTAAAACTTGCGAACAACATATGGAATATATTTAGGGGAACGTAATTGCACCCCAACCCACTATTTAGATAAGACCTAGGATTGTAACGTTTACACTTTAAACTCTCCAAATGGTAGTCCTCAACTTTAAGACCCAGTTTCAGAAATACAGCAGTTTCCTCCTCTTCTTCAAACCCAAAACAGCAGGCATCCATCAGCAAAACCAAACTTCTGAACTCCGATGCTTACAGTATCAGCTTCAAAACTCTGGAAGTTTGCAAGCTTGGGATCTCCCAGATATCCTGGTTTCCACTACAATGCCAAAGGGGAACAGAAACTGGAATTGGCACTAAAGATGGTGATCATATCAGTATCATTCGACCTGAACTCTGTACATTCCACCACTGACGAGTGAGACCACCAGGCTCTTGGCATTGCCAATTTACCATTGCCACCAGGCCGGAAGATCGATATAGTCCCGGAAGCATTCCAGGGCAGGATTAACCCGGATTCTGGAAAGGTGGATCTGGAATTTGTTCCCGATTTCTGGTTATCTGCTGGCAGTTTATACAGAGCTCCTCCACTGCTGGTGAAGCCGGTTCTAACTTCAGAGGAATTGAGAGGAAGCATCCGTAGTGGAGAAGGGGAGAGATTGGACAAAGAATGGAAATACAGATTAGTTGGGGTGGCTTCAGTTTATCAAATCATTGATGTTTTCATGAACACTTTTCTCAATCCAACCACTGAATGCCTCGCCATTCTCAATGCTGTAATTTCAATTGAATAGGAAGAAACTATGTATTATGGAGAGTCGCTTGGAAAAATCCTCAGCTACCAAACTACTCAATGCAAGAGTGTAAAGGAGAAAACTCGTGTCCAAGAACTCATCTTTGTCAATTGACATAAGGCCATGGTCCTATTTATGCTATGGAAGTTAAACAGGTTAAAATGGACTGGTGAATCATTCGAAAGCCAGTCTTTGAGTGCCGACTAGTGTAGCATATCTACCCTTTTCGGCAATTAACTGTAAATGGCTCCCAAGTTCTGCAATCCTTCCATCAGAAACAACTGCAATCTGGTGTGCGTTCTGAACCGTGCTTAATCTGTGAGCAATCACCATTGTCGTCCTGCCTTTCATTAGATGGTTGAGTGCATCCTGGACTAGGCGTTCGCTAACTGCATCTAGTGCACTGGTTGCCTGCACAAAAATAGTTTTCCAGTCACTTACGGAGAAGAGTGGACACAAATGATGGAACTTAAAAACAGGCTTTGTTTACCTCATCAAGGATAAGGATTGGGGCATTCTTCAGCAGAGCTCTAGCAATAGCAATCCTCTGGACAGTTCAGAATTTTTAAACAATTTCAGTTTGAACCATTCTTAATGATTCATTAAACTCGAGCTTCAGTCACTTTGGATTGATAGTTGTGTTTTACATACCTGTCTCTGCCCTCCACTCAGCAAGCCTCCACGCTCACCAACAAGAGTGTCATAACCCTTTTGACGTGCAAATGAAGGTTTTTAGCAAAAATAAAAAAAAATAAAAAAAAATTACAAAAATGAAGTTGAACGGCCGGTTCACAATGATCATAACTAACCAGTGGCAGTGAAACTATGAACTCGTGTGCATTTGCAGCTTTGGCAGCCTTTATGATGTCATCTTTGGACACATTTTCATCAGGAAGCCCGTATGCAATATTCTCTCCAACTGATACCGAAAAAAGAACTGGTTCCTGTATGCATGATCAAATGACTTTATATTGGTGGCTTAACAATAGGATCTAGATCTTCCCTATTTTAGTTAACTGACTTCAGCTTTCACTGATCAAAATGCATTACTTGGTTTACTATGGAGACCACACGAGCCCACTCTGTCTTTTCAAATGTCCTGATATCTTCTCCGGCAACTGTTATTCGGCCATTGGTTGGCTGCAAAATGAGATGTTGATGGAAATAATTGACTGAGCAACATTAAACATACAGAGTATACAAATACCAATAGTAGGTGGAAGAAGCTAGACCTCATAGAATCGTGATAGTAGCTGAACTATTGTGCTTTTTCCTGCACCACTTGGACCAACTAGAGCAGTCACGGTACCGCACTTCAGAGTCAAGTCGAGACCACGTAGAATTTCCACATCAGGTCTCAGGGGATAGGAGAAATGCACATCTGCAACAAACACTTATTAGATACTGAGAACCTTCATCACAACATGGAATAGTGCATCGATAGAAGAAAAATAAAATTACCTTCTAGACAAATATCAGCAGACCAAACAAGGTTGGATAGGTTGTTAGCTGATTTTAAGGCTGACATGTAATGCACGTTACGGGTGCTCTTCCCGCTGTGACCATTGTCGGAGAACAATTTGATTGCCTCGTCTGTATGTTCTTTTCCCTGGATTTCCCTTTCTAGACCATAGGCAAGGGTTTCATCAACCTCTACTCCAGAGAGAATGGAATTGATTCTTTCGACGGCAGCAAGAGTTGCACGAAGATCCCCAGATGTATTGACCAGGCCTTGAACCTAAAGTTGTACCAGAGCGTTTAATAATGAAGGAAATCATAAAATCCAATATAAGCATTATCAGAAAATAAAAATAAAATAAAATCCAATATAAGAGTAATTGGAATAGAAGGACTCACAGCAAATGTCAGTGTGAAAGTGTAACCAATAAAAGAAGCAAAAGTCCCAACAGAAATTTCACCCTGCCGGAAATAGGCAAAAACAATCAGCACAAGAGGTTTGGAAGTTCAAGGAAAAGGTGGCAAAAGGTAGAAGCACTTACAGCTTTCACTTTACTTCCTCCAAGACAATATAAAGCAATCAGTGAGATGTAAACAGCAACTCTCGTCACTGACTCATTTAGTGATTTAAACATCCCAAGCCTTATGCCACTACGCCGGTAAGCAAGAACCTGTCGAATTCGTAGGGATTGATGCAAGATAACAATGGAACAATTTCATAGTGATGCACACAACAGCAGATGCCAAGGCATTCCATCTTACCTGGTTACCAAACATGGACATTTGGCGATGTTCACCACTGAAAGATCTTACCTGGAAAAAAAATGTAATAGAAACTTACCACGGATACATCTTTTCCCATCCAGTACATGCGCAGACCAAATAGTCAGAGGAAGGAAAGAGATACATTTAGTATTACTGACACCCTTCTCAACCAATATCTCATGATCTGCATTTAACAAATTATAAGGCAAGTTGCAGAGCATGTTGAGGGCTTACAGTACGAATAGCAGAAAAAGTTTCTGATACACAGTCAGACATGGATGCTTGAGCCATTCCATGAGCTCTGAAAACGGGTATAGTTGATCGCTTGTACACAGCTTCAAAGCAACAAAAACCAATCACCAGTCGGGGAAAATGCATAAAGAATGAAATAAGCAACAGCGTTTCCTGCAGGGATATTTGAGGATCCAACAAGACTAAGGAACCTCTAAGTTGTCAAGGCACACCCATTACTCTGTAAACAGTATGGATAGCAAGACTGGGAGCGAAAACTTCTACCCCTTGTCACTACACATGTATGTTTCATTGACGAGTATCAAACCATCAGTTTAAGTTTGCTTACCAACTAAAACTGAAATTGAAAGCATCAGGATGCCCAAAATTGGAGCCAGCTGGGGAGCCAAGGTGAATAAGATGGTAACAGTCCCAAGGATCTACAGAAAAAATGAGGGAGAAAAAATTACTATTAGAAAGTTTAGAAGCATCATAATCAATCAGAATCAGAAATCTCATAGAAGGTAAAAGAGATCAGTGTTTTTCTCAGATAAAAATTTGACACAAAAATAAGGATGCAGAGTTTATCCGAGTCAAAGACTACCTACATAATAGAACATACGAAATTAAGCTCACTCTGATTTAGATAGAGTAGCTTGCCTCGGAAAGTGCCCTAAACCCACGATCCCTTGAAACATTCTCACTCACAATATCTTTGAGAGATCCCAAATCATTTGTCAGCAATGCACTGATTTCACCAACCTGCATAACAATGCCAAAAACGCAAATCTCTTGACATTAAAACCCCAAAACATGGTCGAAGACAAGAACCCTCTCCAAATTACACACATTAGCAGTTCACGGATACAGACCTTGTACCGATCGAAAAACTCCACCTGGGTGGACACAAAAAGGTGAAAGAAAATCCATAAGTACAAACTATGAATTGGGTCAAGATCAAGTCTCAAAATTTACAAAAAATTGGTGACAATAGTGAGACATGTTTCGACCTTTTGAATCAGAACTCTCCTGAAAATCTGAGCTCTAAGCGTCGACATAACACTCTCCCACACAACGTTCATGTTAACAACATACAGTACAGTGAAAATTGGTTCCATGGCGTAGGCAAGTCCAACTTTAGCTAGCAGCCTCCACAGAGGCTCCTGCCTCACACCCACAAGCACTTCAAAGAATCGCCCTACAGATTACAAAAAAAAAAACTAAAATGAACGATCACAAATGCAATCACTACTCTCTAAAATTTTCAGCAACCACAAAACAACAGAAAACCCATTGCCACGAATCGTTACCTGAGAAAATGGGCATGGAGAGGGTGCAAGTAGTGCAGCCAACAAGCGAGAGAACCGAAATCCCAATTCTCAACTTATGCCTAAGCATCAGACTCCACAGAAGCCCCCACGTTACCAGTTTCTTCGACGACCACTCCTCGTCGCCGTCGGCATCCGATACGTCGGACTTGTGCTCGGGCTCGTTCACAATCGGGTCAGACGCCGATCCGGTGACGTTCGCAAAAGGAATCGTGGCAATGCCTTTCGTCCTCCGCGTGGCAGCATAAGACGGTCGAATTGGCGGGAAATGGCATGACGAGGAGCGGAGTCGAAGACGGAGCGGGAGCTGCCTGGGTCCATTCGCGCCGCGCGTGTTGGGAATCGGAAGAAGCAAGCGCGTGGGATTGGGATGGTGAAGCAGCAGCACCTGCGAGCTGGAGGCTGACGAAAAAGCCATGGAATTTGGCGCTGCTGTGCTTCGCTAGGTAAAACCGTGTGGACAGGGAAAAGAGAAAAAGAAAATAAGGCCCGAGATTGACGACGAAGAAATAGAACGACGTCGTTCCGAAGGGACAGTTCGGTAAAAGCGTTCATCGGATGAAGCGAGAAGGATCCACGTGTTACCTCGTGAGTTGCCCCGAGGATCAGCCCAGTCACGAGATTCTGGTCTCTCTTGATTTTTGCCTCCTTCTCTCGCCTCTACTTCTCCCGAATCCCATCGAAATCCACACAATTTTTTCTTTTTTTACTTCCCTCGTCCTCCACCGGCTTCTCTCCACAAACCCAATTCTCCGGCGCCGTCTGCTGCATCCTCCGGAGGCGGGATTTTCCCGGTTAACGACTTTACTTCATAGCTGTTGTGTCTCACCTTCTTGAGCGCGATTGTATGGAATCACTGGACCTCGCTGCTTCCCGCTGATTCTCGACGAGTTCAGCTGAGTTGACTTTTTTCGTGCGAGTCCGATGGATTGGAGCCGCTGGGTCGTCGCCTTCGTTACGTTCTTCTGCTTGGTTCCTGGACTTGGCGCCAGCGATGGCGATGCCGATCCGATTTACAAGTTAGTTGCACTCAATCACTCTTTGATTTTTAATTTCTTCGTGTCTTCGTTTTCAGCTTTCAAATGCTGGAGTTGGCATGATTGTTCTGCTGCAAAGCTTCTTGCTTTTGCCTTAGAGTTGAGTGCAGTATGTTGGGTGGGATGTGATTTTTGTAGGCCTTGTGGTTACGGTAATGCTTTGTCAAATCTGTCAATTGCAAGTTCAGGGGTTAGGGATAATGATTGAATTTGAATTGAGTTGAGTGAGAGTTGTCTGGAAGGAGAAGCTTCTGATGTGGGTGTCAAATCTGACTGTTGTTAGTCTACTTTGTGATGATATATGGGTCCCTGCTTCCATTTCTGGTATTATGTCTTGTCTCCTGCTGTGGTGATTTGGGAAACCGATTTTTGATGTGGCTGATTGACCCAGGAGCTGCGTGGAGGAGTGCCAGACAACGGGATGCGTGGGCAAGAAATGCTTCCAGCACTGCAAATTATCGTCTGATGGGAAACCGATTGACGGGCCTTGGTATCATCAGGAGCCGCTTTATCAGCGGTGGAAACAATGGGACTGTCAAAGCGACTGTCAATACCATTGCATGATTTCCAGGGAGGATGAAAGGTCGGAACTTGGTCTTAAACCTGTCAAGTACCATGGGAGATGGCCCTTTCATCGTGTTTATGGCATCCAGGTACTTTCCTAAACGCTAGATATTTCTGTCTAAAGTCTTCGTCGCGTGTTATTATCAGCCTAATTAAAAGGATGTTTCTGCCGTTTCGGTTGCAGGAACCAGTTTCTGTTGCTCTGACTGCAGTCATTCTTGCTCTTCAGTTTCATGGGTGGATATCCTTTTTCATCCTTGTATACTACAAGCTGCCACTGAGGCCCGATAAGAAGACTTACTATGAGTACACTGGCTTGTGGCACATCTATGCTTTCTTGTACATGAATGCCTGGCTCTGGTGTGCTGTTTATCACACTCGGTAAGTTGTTATGGTAGAGCTGTAACTTTTTTTAAATATGGCTTCCAGCTTCCCGAAAGCATGGAACACTTCAATTTTATGGAAAGCCGTCCACGATTTCAACTCTGCCACTTATGATATGATTCACCTGCAAACTCCATCTCACCATTGATGTTGCGTGATACCTCACTGTTTCAGGGATGTGGTGTTGACCGAGAAACTGTATTTTTCCTCTACCGTGGCCTGGGTTGGCTTCTCTCTTATTTTGGCAACATTCCGGGCTTTCAATATAAGAGATGAAGCCGCCAGAGTCATGATTGCTGCCCCAGTGATTGCTTTTGTCACCACACATATCCTGTACTTGAACTTCTATAACTTTGACAAAGGTAATGATCTATTTTTTTCCCTCCCAATCGGTTGCCCTCCACCCATCCTTCAACAATCTGATCTTATGTGGAAAAATTGCACCAACCAATCGCAGGTCTGAATGCCAAAGTAAGTGGGGCAATGACCCTAGTTCAGGTTCTCATATGGCTCGTCTGGGCTACAAGCTCGCGCCATCCATCGAGGTGGAAGCTGTGGCTGGTAGTTCTTGTGGGAGGAAGTCTATCCATGCTCGTGGAAGTATATGACTTCCCACCACTTGGGAGGTACGTGGATGCTCGAGCCATCTGGCACGTTGCAGCCATTCCCCTCGGGTACATCTGGTGGAGCTTTGTGAGAGATGATGCTGAGTTTAGGACATCAAGCCTGCTGAAGAAGACCAAGTAAATGTTTCTCTACCCAAAAGCTTTGCTTGCTGTAAAGTGGGAAGGTGGATTGTATTATTTTACCAGAACGCATCCATTCCAGGGAGGTGGTGGTGGTGGACTGGTGGTGGATGAGTTGGAAAAAAGTTTGTTCTCCTTTGTTTTTCCTTGCCAATGCAGTTTGGTTGTCATTGATCAGAATATGCATTGTCAAGATTGGTCTCCTTTTTCTTTGTTTGGTTTTGGAAATTCCTTTCTTTGGTTGTTTTGGTGATGATTAGTTTATTTACCAACTGCAAATATGTTGGTTATAACGGTTTCTGTACGTAAGGCGAAGTTTCTGCTTTTGGGTTGTCTGTCTTTTTTGTAGCCTTCACTGGCTGTTGCTTCTGCTTCTTCTTCATAGGAAGAACTTGGGGATGTTGGATCAAATCTTTTATTCTAGTGTAAATTTGTGTTCATTACTTTTGATCTCCTGTCCTGTTTGATTTGATTGAAATCATAAATTGGAGCTATTCATGTTTTCAGCTGCTTGTATGTGTTTTTGCTTAACAGTGACTTCTCCAAAGCTAACCCAAGAGAGAAAACTGAAAAGCAAAAGGGAAAGTACTCCAAATCGGAAAATCTTGTCAATCTGAAATTTCTGTCTGTTTATTTGTTGCTGAAACCCAATCTGGCCCAGTTGGCTAATGGGCTTTGATTTGGTAATGTCAAGCAGTCCATGATTGAAATTTGGCAAAATACAACTTCATAGCCATAACTATCCACTTTAGGACAATAATAGCCAAATTCTGAAAAATACACAAATATAGCCCGCTTTTAAAAATTAGTTTGACAAATTTAGCCATTTCTGTTAGAAACTTTAACTCCGTTAACTTTTTGCTGATGTTAACTTTTTGCTGATGTGAACATACACGTCATCAAATGCAACCTACTTATCAGATCCACATCACCTACGTGTCTGCCACCTCAGTTTAAATTATTATCTAGTTATTTTTTTTTTCCATTCTCCTTTCCCCTTCCTTCCACACGAGATCTAAAACGCAGACCGTCGGCCGTCACTCGCCGACCTCCTACCGTCGATAAAAATTCCGGTTCTAGAATCCCTCGTCCTCTCCTTCTTCTCTCCCGACGACCTCCCAGTCCCCACTACCCGGAGCTGCTATGAAAAGTAGCTTCTGCCGCAAAACCATCACATCTCTTCCTACCATTTTCATATCAAACCCTCCAAAAAACATAGTCCCCTGTTCTGACCCTTTCTCGTTTACATATTCCCAAACCTAATCCCGACGACAATGTCGAACACCTGATTTCGTCAAAGAAAACCCATAATCAAAACCCCAAATTAACAATCATGTTTTCGTTGCCCATCCTCCTTATCTCCCCCTTTCCTGCAACAAAAATCCCAAAACCCATAAATCCCCAACTCTCCAGATGGACCTTCCTTCCTCGATCTGTGAGTCCGAGACATAGGAGACGGCAAGAAAGCCAAGAAGCCCCAACGATGTCGTCGTTCGCAGTGGTGCTACCCAGATCCATTCATCATCGTTGGAAGCCGCCACGCCGCACGAGAGCAGAAACAAATCCACAAATCAAAATCTGTTATGGAAGAGGAGGGAAGAGCACAAGCGGTTGTCTTCGCCGCCATGGAGATGATGCATGGCTACCTTTGTCGAAGCCGGAACAGAGGTGGAGAAGTGAATCGGGAAGACGAGCTGGGCCAAATTGAGGGGTGAATCGACGGATGGGTGGATTGGCGGATGAGTGTGTTCGTTGATTGAGTGCCGCCTTCGATCTGGAGTGATGGGGAGGGGTCTCAGGGAGAAGATCGGGACGGATCTAGGGTAGATGGAAAGAAATACTTTTTTGTTTGAATGATTAGCTTCCAATTAGCTAAAGCGGAGATGGAAAGAAGATGGAGGGGTTTCAGTGTGCACGACTTTTCAATTTTCTTTTTTATTATTTTATTTTAAATATAATTATAATAATAACTAGATAAGAAAAGAAACTTTTCCACCTGGAATTGATTTTAACGAAAAATTGACCACTGTCGCTATAAAACGTTAGTACAGTCAGCATATATGACGTTGCCGTTAAATTTATGGACGGAATGGCTATATCTGTGTATTTTTCAAAACTTGGCTATTATTGGCACAAAGTGGATAGTTATGGCTATGCAAGTGTATTTTGCCTTGAAATTTTCCCGACCCATTGTTTGTTCGGATTGTTTGGATGGATCAATCTAGAAATGAGTCAATTTGATCAATTGTCTCGTATTATAAACGAGACAATTAAAACAAGTCAATTCGAATTACCTGCCCCCACCCTATGTAATTGAAATGAACTCAAAACGGATCAATTCAAAATACCTCAGGCAGATTGATCCATCCAAATTTTTTGTTGACAAACGAGATAATTTGGTACAATTGTCTAAAAACGAAAAATTGGTCAAATTGTTCCGTTACAATTCCTCATCCAAACGACCCCTAGGTTTTCCAACAATTGTAACCAAGTGGCAACTGCTAGTGGTTTCTTCCGACTTCCGAGAATAGGGAGAAATTTGGAAATCATGAAGGGGTAAATGTAGGAAAATCTCAAATAGACAAACAACGGGTGAATTCATACTTCATTAAAAAAAACAATTCAGTTTTAGATACATTTTTGTGGTGAAATAAAAGAGTTGTTGTAAGAACTTTGAATTTAAACGTCCTTAGTATAGAGCAGTATAAAGATGATTAACCTCTTGACAAGTCACCATATATGATGTACCCATTTAAGAAAATCGTGTGAGGTAAGCTCAAAGTCGATCAATCTCGGAAAAGTGTTGAGACTTACAAGTAGTATGGGCGCACTATTTGTCTCCGTTGGACGATGGTAGAGCAAATCTCAATGAGCACGTTCAATCCCAAGGGAGTGTATATAACAACACCTAAGGAAAATGGAGGAGTTTGAGTACGAACTCGAAAAGCAAATGTGCTTAATAAGAAGTAGTACAAGATTGACGATCTTTCGAGAAATCACCATGATGCACTCAAGAAGTAATAAAACCATGTATAAAATAGATCTAACCGAACAATAAATTGTATTCCAATTTGTTTATTATCGGTCTGTATACATTTTTGGAATAACAAAGTATATATGCACTAAGCGTTCACAAAGCACAATTTTCTTTTACTTGTTTCCACTCCAATCCATATACGACTGCCGTTTTGGCATATACTTATTAATTCTCCCCCACTCCAGTTGAAAGCTTTTCCCAACTGACAAAAATGGAGCTTTCCATCTTTCTTCCACTTTTTTGCATTTACCAAATAATCTCCCGTGCTTAATATAATTAAAATCACACTTTAAAACTTAAAAACTTACGATTTTACATTTTTAGGTCACTAAAATGCTTATACACAAAATCTCAGTTTTTATAACTTATATAGTTAAAAATTCCACTTTAAAACTTACGATATTATGTTTCTAGATCATCAAATACGTTTCTACGTGAAAATTCGCTTTTGACTACATTGATATCCCGTAAAAAAAATATCAAGCACGGATTACAGCTTTTTCCCCTCCACCGCCCTACCTATACTTCTAAACACAGTAATATTCGTCACGTTACCAAAATTCCCCAAAAAAAAAAAAAACCCATTCAAATAGAGTAACTCCACAGCGATACATCAGCTGCAAAGTCATCATCCTCCCGGGACGGCGGCGGAGGCGGCGGCGGCGGCAACAACATCCCTTCCGCCATATTCGCCAGCAACCCCGGCATCCCAAACACCGCCTCCTCGTCCATGTAAAACACTCCTTCCTCCTCCCCTGCCTCCGCCGCCGTCACTCGATCGCCCCCCTTCTTCTCTCCCACCCGATGTCCGTCTGCAGGCCGGAACGCCATGGCGGCCTCGGCAGCCGCGTTCTGTATCCCTTTGGCATCCGCCGAGTCCGGGACGGGCAGCCGCCAGGCCGAGTCGGCGAAGTTGAGGCAGGCCGCCCTCCCCCTGAGGGCCAGGGCCGCGACGTCGTGGGCCCTGGCGGCCATCTCGGCGGTCGGGAAAGTCCCCAGCCAGATCCTGGACTTCTTGTTGGGCTCCCGGACCTCGCAGACCCACTTCCCCGAGTTCCTCCTCCGGACACCGCGGTACACCGGGTGACGCGTCTCCCTGAACTTCTTCCTCCCCGCCGGCCGCTTCTTCGGGTAGCTCGACGCCAGCTGCATCGCCGCCGCCACCGATTCCTCGTCGGAGAACCCCGGGTCCCGGAACGGATTGTAGATATTATTATTATCCATTAACAGAGAAGGATCAAAGCTCGAGTTTGGATTCTTGATTTGGAGAGGTTTTTGGGATTGCCGAGTGTGAGTGTGTTTTTATATGTTGTGGGAGTTGATTAATTTAATTTTAAATTAATTTAATGAAGGGGGTGGGGATTCCTAGAAACGCCAACGCGGAGGATGGGGATGTGGAGGAGCCAGGCTGGCAGCTGATGGGTTTTTTTTATTTCCCCCACGGTTTGGATTGGTTGGGCCAAGGAGGGGAAATGGTGGGCTGGCGGGAAGCTAAGTAAAAGGCCAGCTGTGTGTGTGTGTGATATGGATATGGGCTGGTGATGGATTTTGGGTTGTTGACTGATTCTGGGGCCGACACGTGTGAGTTTTTCTTTTTGACTGTTTTGATGGACAAGATATGGTAGGGAAGGGGTTGATTGATGGCGGCGAGAGAAGAAAGGAGAAGTCAAAAGGTAGGGTTGGGGGAAGGGTACGGTGGTCAGGTCAGGTCAGGTCTCACTTTGTCTTTTCCTTACCAGAAGAAGCAAGCAGCCAGCCAACCGATTTTATCCATTTGCGTGCATTTTAAGGAACAGAACAAAGAAAGTTGTAATCTAAGTGGGAACGAAGATAACAACTAGGTAATTGGATAGTTGTAATATCTATATATATGTTGACACAAACAACGCTTACTTCACTTAACATGCTTTATTTATTATTAAACTTATTTCAACAACTCGAGTAATTGTGATCAATTGGTTCTTTGACATGATATCACGACTGTCCATTTCTTAAGCATATGATATCTAGACCATGTAGTTTTAGGGGTTCTTTTCTTTTTTTCACATAGTGGTTTTTATGATCAATTTAATACACAAATAAATAATTGATTCTTATGACGTACGAAGGTTCACAAATATACTATGGATATGATTTTTTTTTAAGAATGACGAAGAATAAAGTCTCTAACGTATAGGACAAAAGAAAGGACCGACTAGAGGGTATAGTCGCAATCATTAAATATATCTTTTTTCCAAACTTTTTTATGTTTCATAATTTCCAGTGTATATACGAAACTTGGCATTGAGTAACTTTATATTTTTACTTAAATAAGAAAAATAATGAGGTATACAATCTATAACTGCAAAACCTACAAAATTTCCTATTGTACGAGGGATAGCAAATTAATCACGGCATTCAGGACCTTTAAGTAAATCGCTCCCACTAAAATATGATTGACGAAACCTCAATTGGTTCCAAAGTTTACAGCCCATGTTCCAGCACTTAACAAAAATCAGTGCAGGGGCCCACCCAGCACACGGTTGACAGTTAATCGTCTTTAAAGTCCAACTGCTATGCTATAAGTTAGATTAGAATTAGAGCAACGGTATGGCGGGAGTATGCTGGATTGTTGGCTGCTCGTTTCCCGCGGAAACGCGTAGCGGACCCACGTGCATGCTCCCATAATCCCATTAATTTTTTTTTTTTTCTTTTTAGAAGATATCATGTATTGATTAAAAAAAAGACAGTTACACCTGGAAACCAACAAGTCCTGGAAATCAAAGAAGCGACTCATAATCAGATACAAAGAAAGGGCTTTCCTAACTACCAAATGAGCTACCCTATTGTTCTCCCGACCTACAAAGCGCACACTAAAGCCAGGCTGCGTACGAAAATAATGACCGATCTCTTCCAGAACAGCACCCAACCGACTATCTCTTATATCGCCTTGATTAATTTTGTCAATAATCACCTTCGCATCGCCCTCAAACCGGACTTCCGACAGACTTTGTTCCACACACCAAACTATAGCTTCCCTGAGCACAAGCAATTCCACAATAGCAGGGTCTCCCATAATCCTATTAATTAATGAATTAATTCGCTACATTATTGATCTCGTCACGGTCACGGGGACTCTAATTGTTTAGGAAAACCACTGCCTCACTGAACTGGTCCCTTTCTTTACTTTCATTTTCCCTACACGTTTATTGGACTTCACTTCACTTGGATTGTATGCATACCTCTTCAACTTAGGCCCAGCGTAGCCCAATAAACCCACGAACTAGAAAGCCCATTACCAATACATGGGCTCGTGAGTAAAAGCCCACCCATCTAGAAGATGTCCTGATGGAAGACTCGCAATCATGAATATGATGTGATATGTGATGTCCCATGGGCAGGTCAAGCAGATCTGGTAGTGCAAATTCACTTACTGGGAATTATATGGTGTTGATAATTTTGCGTATGCTTCATCTTTGTTTTTCATTATTTGGAAGTATGTATCTTTCCTTCGTTCAATCATTATTACTAGGGTAATGATGATTTGCCACTGATATCTTGTTAGATTTCGATCAATATGTAGCGTGCTGATACAACGTTCTTCGTCTTTCTTTTTTTCCGTAGAGGAAGAAACTTCGAGGACTCAAATGCAGACTTTGTAATCGTTATAGGCCATGTAGTTAAAATCGCGTTTTAAAACTTTAAAAATTTACTTTTACACTCCTGGTTCACCAAAATGCTTCTACGTCGAATCACATTTTTCACTTACAATTGTGGTCAAAATCTATGAAACTTGAACATGAATGGGGTCGCCGATGGAGCATATATAGGGGTAGCTGTTTGGTCCGGATTTTTTGGTTTTACCTGAAACCAGATCGTATAACCCGGATCGAGACCGGACTAGGACCGGATAGCAAACAACCCAATCAAATTTTCGGGCCTAGATTTAAGGTAAAAAAATCATTTGCGACCAGACCGAAAACCAAATAAAGACCGGATAAGAGAGCCCAACACCCAAAATTTAACCTCCCCACCCTTTCGGGCCTTAGGCCACTCAAATCTCCCCTCAGGCCACTCAATCCCTACAAGCTCAATCTAAAATCAAGGCCTAATTGAGACCCGACTGGTTCATGACCGGACCAGATCAAGAACGGATTGTATCCAATCCAATCTTTGATCCTTATATTCTCGAAAAGACCGGACTGAGACTAGATCAATTCGGGCCAATTTAACCGGACCGGACCGTATAGTCACCCCTATATATGACAGAGAGTCGTGAGGAAAGGAACAAGAAAGCTGCACAACAATTGTTATGTACTTTGCAGAAACTCTCTCTCCTCTTTTGTTCACTCTGCCTTCTCTCTAGAGGCTCCCTCTCATTATGAGTTTGAGGGCTGTTGCCGGCGTCTCTCCAGCGACCGGCGACAGCCCTCCACCCCTCCTTTTCGTTGCTTTTCTTCTGTTGTTCCTGCTTTGTTTCTATTTTCCACGCCTTTTGATTTTTTTCTTTGGGCTAGGTTTTCGCCTGTGTTGGGTGGTTGTCTTCCCCGTTGTTGGGTTCCTCTTCTTCCCCTGTATTGGGACGATTCTTTTGCCCTCCGATCCGTTGGCTCAGATTTGGAGATGATGGTCCGATCTAAGAAGCGATGGAGGCCGGATTTGTTTCAGATCTGGCTTGTCTTTCCCTCTCCTCTCTCTAGTCTACCTCCTTGTCTCACCTTGCAGATCTAGGTGTTTCGGAGATGCAACCTTTGGCGTCGGACTCAGGGTGGAGAGCTTGAAGACAGAAGTCCTTCTTCCTCTAGTGCTTTCGTCGGCGACCGGTCGTCTTATGTGGTCCTCTAGTTATGTTCGGTGGGCGACGATGATGACTGGCCCGAGGTAGGATGGTGGAGATCTCTCTTCCTCGTCCTTCCATCCGGGTTTTGCGGAAAGGGTTCCTCGGAGTTGGAGCGCGGCGGCGGTGCTGGGTAGCGCGACAGCGATAGTGTCTTTTGGCTGCGGCGATGGAGGCTTCAGAGGAGGTAGATGAGCAACTAGGGTTTGGAAGCCACACATGTTCTTGGGTCCGGGTCTGGGCCATATTTTCCATATGGGCTTGGCCCGGGGTGGGATGGTGGAGATCTCTCTTCCTCGTCCTTCCATCCAGGTTTTGCGGAAAGGGTTCCTCGGAGTTGGAGCGCGGCGGCGGTGCTGGGTAGCGCGACAGCGATAGTGTCTTTTGGTTGCGGCGATGGAGGCTTTCAGAGGAGGTAGATGAGCAATTAGGGTTTGGAAGCCACACATGTTCTTGGGTCCGGGTCTGGGCCCTATTGGGTGTCGGCCCACTTGTGTTTTCGGGCCTTTTGTTTGGTTTTCTGATTGTTTTTTTTTTCTTGTTCTTTTCCATATGGGCTTGGCCCGATCGCTTTCTTAATGAACAACTCTTAAAAAAAAAAAGAGTCGTGAGGAAGTAGTTTGTGAAAATTTTTCCTCTCGACCCTCAACAGACAGAAAATGAGAGTAGCAAATGTGAATTAAAGGTGTAAGGGGGGTTTTTAGTGTTAATGGACATAAATTTTTTATTTTTGTCCAATCAAAAGGGGAAGTGATGCGATAAAAATATGTATGCAAACTACAGATCGAGTAATAAAGATAAGTATATTGCTGTCATAAATCCGTACAAATTTAGATTTAACAAATAAAATTAAGGAATCGAAAAGAATAAAATTGATTTTCTACAAATTAAATTTAAAGCAGTAACTAAGCTACAAAGCAAGCTAAAATTAGCTTTAAAAAATTTATAGAAAGAAGCTTTGAGAAAAGATGACTTGGAATCACCTATATAATCACTTGACTAAATTTGTTTATTAATCAATTTAGTTATCATTCAAATAAGGTTATTTCTAATGTGATAGGTATCTTTATGAATACTCACTACGTACTAACTAGTCAATTAATTATTTACTCTTGTACAACCAACTAACGAGCTTCCTAGTATGAAGTCCGATAACTCTTTTGTTTACATATATCTTAATAAATTTATGAAAAAAATATCTTTTAAAGTGATGAAGGTAAGTTAGGTACAATTATCATCGGATGTCACAGATTTAAATTTTTTACACAAACGTATAATGGGTCTCTCACAAAAACTTATAGCGGAGGTGATTCGGTTGACACAGCTATGCAATAGGTGGGTTCGCCACTGAGCTCGGCCTGCCTCTGAGGGTTGAGTTGAGTCAGTTTGTCTATACGATCAGCACAGAGGCGGGTCATCTTTTGGCCATGTAAGGGTTTGATAAGGTCGAGTCAACTTAAATTTGAATCACTTTTTGACCCTATGACCTATAGCAACAACTAAGGATATGAAAGTTCTCATACCAACACAAGGGACCTATTCATTAAAATTTAAAAGTTTAGGTACTATAATGCATACAAAAAATATAAAGGTACTAAAACGTAATTGTACCTTCAAAATTTCTTGACTTGTTTATAAAAAAGATAAAATTTAGGCACTATAATTTCAGATAATTAATTAAATATTTGACATTTGTGAAACATAGTAACCCTTGAGAAGAGAACTGCCGCCATTTTCACAATAAATCACTGTTGCAGTCAGAATTTCGCTTTAACGTATTCATCTTTTTTTTCATGTTTTCCTTCTCAATATCACAATTACAGAATTCTGCAAATTGCTGCTTCAGACTTAATTTGCTTGAAGAAACACTTGACGGGTGATTTGCCCTAATCCTACAAGCGATAGTAATTGAGGGCAAATACACATTTTATAGAGAATGATCAAACTCTAGTTTCCTACAAAAATTTTGTTCCCGGAAAAGAAGATGTAGTAGTGGAGATTCACAATTCACAATGATGAATATAATCAACAGTATAATTTATAGCTGATAAGTAAAACTGCAACCCCCATTCAAAATTTCCTGCCCATAGAGTGATTTTAGGAAGCTGATGTGGCAGAGTGTTAAGCGGTAAAAAAAGAGTTCCGCCTGATTTCAGAACCAAAAAACTCTCCACTACCCACTTTTTTCTCCTTCCAGGCCCACGTTTTCATTTAATTTGTATAAAAAAACTCTCCACTACCCACTTTTTTCTCCTTCCAGGCCCACGTTCTCATTTAATTTGTATTAATTTATATTTTTTTATTTCCGATTTCCCTTCCTTCCACTCTTTCACCTCATTCGAATAAGTTTCTTGGCCTTCAGAAAACCAAACCTTGACTCAATCATCTGGTTCTTTTATGTGCTTGCATCTACCTTTGATTTCCGTTCTCTAAGCGTTAGATCGGTATTGGTTTTGCCGTAAGTTATTCTTCCTCTTTCAGATTTATGTTTGTTGTTGTCGTTGCTTTTAAGTTTTAGGGATTCGGGTTCTGGGTTTTTTTTTTCCAGGGATTCGGCTGCAAAGATTCATCTCCCTTACCTTTGGTTCATTCCGTTTTCTTTATTCTCTCTTACCTTCCTCGCTTCATTCTGTTGATTGGATTCTCTAGAGATCAAAAGGGGATTTTTGATTTTTCCCTTTCTCTTGAAAGTAACAAAGCTGCTTACTTTAAATTCCACTTCGCTTAGACTGTCTTCCAGAGAGCAGCCGACTGCCGATTTTGAGCTGAGTTTTTCCGGGCCGCAGATAAAGAAGAGGAAAGAAAGAGACGTTCGGCGGCGGCAGCCAGGTACTTCGTCCGGGTCGTTTTCCGGGTCAGTAAACCGAAGGGCCGGCTATAAACTACTGCTGGCCTGGCGGGGGAAAAGGAAAGCGTAAACCATAAGGCCTCGGGGATCCATTTCTCTCGCCAGCCCATACTTCAGAGGCCCAGCCTACTTGAGTCCAGAACCAGCCCATCGCCGACGAAATTTGGCGCGCCGTCCCCCACCCGCCACCACGTATGAGACATAATCAATTTACTTTCTGATGTTAACTCTGTTGCAGGTAAATGTCGAAATCCAACTTGATCAGTAAGGTTTTCTCTCATATGTTTCTAGGTTAATTAATATAATGGGACTGGCTATGATTTGATAATGTACTTTCAGCTCTAATCACTAAAGAAGTATAAAGTAGGCGGTATTGATAAGCATGCTCCACTGGTTAGTGTATTGGTTCTACCAGGCTTTTTTCCGTAAGATCATTGGACAGTTTTATCTCACTCCATTAGTTTGTTTTATTGTTCTTCAACTTCATTTGCATTGTATTTGTATTGTTACATTAGAGTTGGAATCCATTTGTGCTAAAAGTACAAAGCGTAAACTGCATAATTGAAAGAAGGGTTAAGCTTGGTATAGTTAGAAGAACTAGAATTGGTAAGCACTTATAGTGCTTTTCTTATTGCCAGCTTGCTTCTTTTTCAAACTTCTCTTTGGATATGGTTTTTATGGATGCCTTTGAATTATATTTGTGTTGGCCATTACATTGTTGTCCTTCTCGCTCTTCGTTTGCATCCCCAAGCTTGGAAGCCATTCTGTTATATGTGTTTTGTTCATCAATTTAAATTATGCCTTATATAGTTATATTTTTCTTCGACTGTTATGTTTGTGTGGTGTGTTGTAGGTGTCATTAACTCGCACAAACTTATAATTGGTGAGGAGTTCAACTTCTGTTGTAACAATTAATTAATTTATATGAATGGCAGCTGCAAAATTTACTGGAACGGGTGCATCATTTACCACGACCTCTATTTCAGATTGCATCAGGTTATTGGAGAATTTAATATGGATAGTGCAAATGTCATCCCATCTGCCCAACCACAGATTTATCGATCGTCTGTACCATGTGAGTGTCATGGTTTAGCACGCAACTGCTTCAATGCAAACTGACATTAATATTTTCCCTTGAATCTCATTTGTTTAGGAAAACGTCGAGCAGTGTTTATTCATCCTGAAGATCAGTACCAACGCTGTGTTTTATCTGCTGAAGAGGAAGAAGCATTTGAGAGAGGTGTGTTATCTGTGTTTTAATTTTTCTAATTAGTTCATCTATTCAATGAGTAATACATGGTTTTATATTTAAATTCTGCAGAAGAAGCTGCCTTACAATTCCAACTCTCTCAACTTCGGCGAATACTATCCCAAGTCGCCCGTAGGAGAAGACATCATATTTTGAAACAGAAGGTTCATAGGAGGGGCTTGCCTTTTGAACACCAAGGTTGTTGTTTGCTAAATTTTGTAGCAAGTCTTACAAATTAGGCTATTCTAGATTGTTGAATCTTTATTTATTTCTTTAATATCGTATGTGTTTTGGTGTTGTTCATAGTTTTGGAGGCGGAGTTTAGATTTCTATTACAAAAGCAAAGTCGATTACTTCGACGTATTCATCTACATAGAAAGAGACGTGGCCGAAGTTTCTTTCCTACAGAAGTCAATCAAAGTATGTGGATTCTAATGGCCCCTATTATACATGAAATGGTTCATCTCTATTTTGGTTTAGTTTTTGTACATTGGATATATGTTTTTGTGTTCTGGTCAACATATTTTGTTTCCTATTTTGGTTTTAGAACATATAATGTACCCATTTATGCCATGCATATAATTTAGTGATGTACGCTTCATGTCACCTTATGCAAATAGTGGATTGTTTTTAGATGTTGATGTGTCAACGGCAAATTTGTGTGTTATGAACAAACTTTGGTGTTTCCTGAAATTTGACTTATTCTTACTTAAAATGAGCGGTATACCAATCTATCTTGCCTTGAGAACATTTATTTTAATAATTGTGTTTACTGTAGCGCGCCTAAATTTATTATATTACTTATTCTATTCAATTTATGAATTATTGTGACAAAAATTTTGTTAATTTTACTTATCTATTTCACTAGGTCTTCCGTTGGTTGAATTTTTTGATATTGGTCCACCTTCATGTACGTGTCAACATTGTGGAGCAGTTATGTGGCGGTTCGAGAGTACTTTATCTACACGGAATGATGTGTTGCCTGCATTTCCTTTATGTTGCAAACATGATAAAGTGAAATTGCCTCCCCGCAGAGATGTGCCCGAATTTCTTAAAACTCTACTTGAAGGGGATACACCATTAGCGCGTCACTTTCGTACTAACATCAGAGCCTATAATGGGGTTTTTTGCTTTATTTCTCTCGGAGGTAAAGTCAATCACTCTATTAATGATGGTCGTGGAGTTTATGTATATTCAATCGGTGGTCAGATTTATCATCGAATAGGATGTTTGGTTCCTGGTGATGGGGATAGTCCGAAATTTGCACAGCTTTACATTCACGATTCAGATAACGAGGTGCAGAATCGTATGGACTTTTACTCCACTGATCTTGCCAAGAATCTGTTGCGCCAGTGTATTGTTGAAGGCCTCCAGCATATGTTTGATGACAATAATATCCTGGTACGTACATTTCATTCTGCGCGAGATAGGATACAAAACTCTGGTGTCCAGGAGCTTCAACTGAAACTATTGGCTAAGCGTGAAATTAATAGTAGAGAATATGATTTGCCCTCTGCGAATGAGATTGCAGCATTGATTGTAGATGAAACAGGAGAGCAATCATTTTCTCCAGATATAATTGTTCAACAGAAGGGTTCAGAAATGGAAAGGATTAGCGTATACCATCCAAGTCTGATGGCATTACAATATCCAATTTTATTCCCATATGGCGAGGATGGGTGGCATCCCTGCATTAGCTATAGTCACAGTAGCTCTAATATCAGTGTTGGAGATAAAATGATAACCCAGTGTGATTTCTATGCATATCGTCTTCAAACCCGTCTCCAGGAGTCGAATTCTCTGTTATTATCTGGTAAATTGTTT